AATCTATGAGACAGCATTCATTCTAGGGAGAGAAGAGATTGAGATGAGGAAGATTTATTTTTTCCCACGTCAGTTCTTATTATTGAGCGTTCTGTTAGATAGGAACAGTAGCTTTGTACGCGAGATGATCTGAAATAGAACTGTATGCTTTGAACCAGACCAGGAATTTACCCGAAGAAATTGTTCTTGATTACCTCCGGTGTTGGTTTTTTATATGTTCGACTTCACGCATTCAATCATTAGCAATTTATCCTCTGGCCCCTGAGATTTCAGTCTAATCAAGGAGCAGTGCTGTTATTTCAGCCTATGCTGGTGAAAGCCCCGTGCTTGTGTTAAGTGGCATTGTTTAGCTGCTAACTACGCATTATCTAGGATAGAGGAATGAAATTGTCCTGTTAACATATCTTTGATTGGACTTGAATTGTCATCGGTCAACAAATTTCTCTTTCAGTAATGGTTGAGTTTCTATCATTATTCACTTCAGGGAGGGTGTTAATGGTATATGCTGCTCGTGATTGCCGTCAGTATCAGTTTGAACATTCTTTCAGAGAGTATTTGTTGATTTACTTGACAAAATTAACTGTTGAAATGTTTTCATTGATTTCTTTAGCAGATTATTATTGGTTTTTAAGTGATCTTGCGAGTATTTTTAGTATTTTCTGGTAAAGTCTTTTTCAGAGAACACGTTTTGTTGTTTCCGCATTTATCAAAACATGACGACTTGGAATGGTACATATTTAAAGTGTATATCCTTGTCTTCGGATGTAATTATTATATTTGTTTACGACAAGATTGCCTTGTTTGTCATGTACAAGAATTTTCTGGCATTTGTTCAGTATTTTTTTCAGAACTGTGGAATTGTATCCTACAGATTGTTTCAAAAAGTTCGTACATACCCGTATTGAGAATAATTCTAAGACCACCAGCAGTTTCTATTAATGTTACATCTTCTCGCTCTGTTGCATGTAATTTTCTTTTTCAATGATTTCTTTACATTAAGATCATAGTCTCTCCTTTCATAGCGATCGGATCCATGTTCCAGCGCTTTTTTCAGACGTCTCCGCTTCTTCGGTTATTGCGCGAAGTTCATACTCACTCATATTTTAAGATTCCCGACAACAGAAAATATCTAAATTATATCAAAATGACCAGAAAATTTAATCTGATTTTGTCTATTATTTTTTTTGTCTAAAACTGTTCATTTGAAAAATAATTACTTTCAATATTAATAATTTTATGACGCTCCGACGTTTTAAAACTTGTTATCACTCACCCGACGCTGACGTCATCGTAAGATTGGTTATTGAACAGGTGTAATTAATCTATATTAGATAAGAATTCTGAAAGTGAATATCTATGTTAAGGTTATCTTTAATACAAGTTTCCTATTAATTATTCAAACATAATAAGCTCAATAACAGGGCAATACAGTAAGAAAGTTTACTAACATGGTTTAGATAAATTAAAAACATAGAACAGATTAACCAAGTAAGGCGTCAAGATCAACTAAATCAATCATAGAAAAGACAAGCTTTATACACGAGAGGCACTATTGCATAAATTAATAAGAACAAGGTGGCGAGATATTAAGTAAATTAATCAATATAAAGTAATCGACGTAATGTATGGGTGAAATTGTTAGATGAAGCCCAAATAAAATACATATTTCTGTTGGTAATATAGTTATTCTATTCATGTCGACAAGGCAACAAGGCAAGTACAAGAATCCTCAAAAGCATAGATAACACTGCGAAAGTAGAGCATGTAGGGAGTCAGAGGCGGAGAGACAAGATAATGGCGCAAGCTTTATAAAACGTACCGCCGGTTGCCCAAATTGGCAAATCCTCTAGAAGAGTATTAGTCCTTTTAGATTTTGGAGGAATGCCCAAATTTCATTCCAGAAGCTTCTTCTGGTTCTTTAGCGTCCAAAGATTTTAAGCACTTATACTCGGGACCTTGATTTTATAGTCTCATCCGAAAGACTGATTAGTAATTTTATTTGGACAGTCTTGGAATCAAACCCAAAAGGTCAAGATCACAAGTCTCGCGCTCTAACCGATTGAGCTGGTGTCGATAAATACATTGGCATTTGTAACATAACATACTTTGCTACTACTTCCCGGTTCATTTGTTATACTTTGGATCAATATTCATTTTTTTGGTTTGATTTTGTAATAATATTAATTAATTAGAAGTTTTATATACTGTTAAAATTTTGACAAATGTTCTGACTGGTGCTCAACATTTATAAGCAGGCGACCTTTACGCGTCTCATGTAACACTTGCACTGAACATGGGCTTCTTTCCTGCCTGAACACGTGTATCTAAATTTTGTAGAAGCTGCACTCTTTGAACCGAATACCATATTCCACTTTTTTTGTTTCCTATAATTTTATTTTATGTATGGTGTGAATAAGAAAAGAAACTGATCTGTAAATCGATAAATCAACAGTTGCCTTTGAATACATTGCATTTACAGACATAAAAGTATATCATTGTAGTTTAATACTTTTACTAATCTAATACAACACATTTAACTATAATAACGTGTCAATGAACTGTGTTTTATATTACCTTTTTTTAAAAAAACCTCATTAAAATATAAGCAATTTTTTTTAATTTACAATACGACCGTGTTATTCACGTAAATTATGCTACCTTAAACATTTTTGTGGCTATTTCTTTACACTGGTCGTCACTTTGACCTGATGGATATGGTTATTAAAACAGATCTGAAATAAATTTAGATGGTTGACTTATAGAGGACATAATTCATGTATATTTCACATGATAAGCTGTTCATGTTATACTTTAGATAAAGAGTAAGGCGACCTAGAAGATTATCGTTTCACTACTTCTAATAATATCAGGGATCTGATATTATCCATAAAGACATTTATTATAGTAATAAATATGTTGGCATTGTTTTTTCTGTATTGTTTATTTTGAATTGTTATTGAACAGTTGTAATTAATCAATATATGATAATTCTGAAATGAATATTTAGTGTTAAGGTATTCTTTTACAAGTTTCCTATTAATTATTCATAGACTGATTAAAGCAATGCTGCCTATATATCAGGGATGTAAAAAAAGTTCCTGATATTATTATTTATAAAGAAATTTATTATTAATAAATATGTTGGCATTGTTTGTTCTGAATTGTTTATTTTGAATAGTTGTTGAACATTTATAATAAATCAATTTATGATAATTCTAAAATGAACATTTAGTGTTAACGTATTCTTTTACAAGTTTCATATTAATTATTTCATAGACAGATTAGAGCAATGCTGTCTTTATTATTGACAAATATTGTATTTGAACATAAAACAAAGTAAGGTTACATGTCATGTACTGTTCAAATATACAATTGTTGTAAGTTTCAGATGATATTATAATAATTATATAAACATACTTTAGCAATTAAACTTCAAATAAATATTCTACGACAATTGAGCATCCTTTTATGATTAAACAATTAAATGTTAATTAATGACAATATGACTTTTTATGAAGTGAGTTTGTTGATACAATGTTTAGTTATCATACATCAAATAATAATTTGAAATTTATCATACATCAAATAATAATTTGAAAACAATTGTTCGAAGACGTTTTGGGATAAGACAGTAAAATATAAAGTTTTAACAATATCCTCGGACCGTATTTTATAATTGAACTAATACAAGTTTACGCATATTTTGTCATACCATAAATGCAATTAAGATGATTATGAATACATTATAATTTTATTGTTATAACAATTTATAGATTATAGATTATTATACTTTGAAGTTTCATTAATTATCTTATTTATTTGCTTATGTATTTTTTATGTTTCAGGGTAAATTTAATAACGTTTTTCCTTAAAAAAAAAACTCTCGCGTGAAGCATGTGGGATTACGGACATTGGAACCTAAAATCTCAATTTCGGGTATTTCCTCTCCATACACTATCACAAGTGAACAACAACAACAACAACAACAACAACAACAACATTATGAGCGCACTTGTAGCTTATCCTGATAATGATTACAAGAATCTTACACTGGCTGCCGGTACAGATCGGAATATCTAGCTCGAGGGTAACTGTTTACGGCGATTACGAGGCTCTGCAGAGTTTCCGCTAAACAGTTACCCGAGAGCTAGATATTCTCGTCTGTACCGATAGGCGGTGTTTGATTCTTTTTCTTGCATCTTACATGTCAATTATTTTTGTAATAGAAATTATGAAAACTTAATATATTCTTATTACGCACCTTTTTTTTTCTTATATGCGCTATATGCGCTACGCATGAACACACAACTTCATTCATAATGGTAAAATGACGTTATCTTAAGAACGCAATTCATTCATATATTCTACGCATGAAACAGTCCTTGAAGATCGTTCAGCACGACATTATTTTTGTGTTTGTGGTACTTTTAGTTTTTAATTTTCAGGAAATCTTAGGAAATGTTGCCTGCTTTTTAAATTTGTCTTTTGACGTCTGTGATATGCAGGCTTCATAACCTCTAATCCCCTTTCAAAATTTTATTTTGTTTAGTTTCGGTCATTTTTTCTCGTTTACGTTACATGCTTTCTTTTGCTTGGGGACCATACGCCGCTTTTCATGGAATGACACGAAAGTGTCACATTGAAAGTTCCATGATGACCGCCGTATATCTGCAGATGTTTCTTAATTCAAAATTTCACCATTTTCATGTTTAATTGTTGAATTCTGCTTAAGCCGGTGCAAGGGGGCGTGGATAGTAGTTTGCACTTAACAGTATCGTCCATGAACAGGCTCAATGAAACCGAGCCTGCAACATTTTCAAGTTTGCCGTTTTGGACTTTCTTTAGGGATTCTATTTTCTCTAATTTATATATTTTACCATTTAATCTGCAATCAAGAATGAAACGGGTGAGGGTAGAGGCGTGACTTATGGTAAAAACAAAACAATAAACATATATTTATAGAAAATGATATAATGATTTAAGTAGAAAAATATAGATACCTTATAGAGAAATCTGTTCGTTAAAGAGTCTTCTACCGGTCCATCAAGCTGTGCTAAATTTACCCAATTAGGTTTTTTCTCAAAAGCGCTGCTCGTGCTATACTCGGACCCTAAATCCATCACCTTTTTATCACTTGAAAGCGCTTGTGATTTCGCCATTGCTTTAGTCAAGATTATCTCTTCAATTTCTTTCTCCTTAAAACATTTCAGTTTGCTTTAACACAAAATACGATTTTTATCAAATGAACTACACTATTTTATCGTTTTAGTGCCAATACAATGTAACGTAAGGCAATCCTTTCTTTCAAGGAATTTGTCTCTCGACGCGGATCATCTACGAAACATTCTTGTGAGTCTTTATCTCTCGAAATTTATGAACTGATATGGCGGTTTGGTTCAATTCCTGTTTAATTGTTACTGATTTCAACACAAGAGTAGCTCTCGCGATACCGTCAAACAAAATTCGTCACCGGCTTGTCTTGTCAACATTAGTTACTTTTTCTTGCTTTGCCTTGTCGAAATTTATCAAACATAGTAAATACAAGTAATGTCCTCTTGTAGTTTATGTTTTAAACACGAAACACTACCCCAGGGCACTTTCATATGAACCAAATGATCCCTTAACGTTCAGAGAAAAAAATGTTTGTCCCTACATCGACTCAGTAGCTTAAAATGTTGTAGCACTTTGGTAGGTACATGGAAGACCTATGTTATGTTGCCCGGTTGTCATTAAGAACAGTTATTGTACCGATGTTCACGAATATAAAATGAACAACGTTGTTACACAATCTCTCTCGTAGTTAATATAATAGATCGTAAATCAACGTCAGTAAATGAATTTCTTTAACACATTATTATTTAAATATTCGGTAATATTTTACAGTGAAGACTTCGCCGTGGGTTCATTTAAGGTCATTTGTTCACCTGTTACGAAATAAAATGGAGTAGATTTCTAATAAATTAAATAAACTTTGATTTATATCCTAAATGTTTCAAAAATGTAAATAATTGAATAACCTTGTCAGAGAAACCTTTCAAGACATACCGCGTAGAAAACAATAATCACGATATCTCAAATGTCATGAAAAAATACACTTGCACTAAAATTATCGTGAAAGTTCTTTCTTCTGATTACTATATAGATTGATACATTGTATATTATATTCTTCGAGCTGTCTGTTTATATTGAAGAGATGATAAAAAAGTGATCGTAACATGTTTCCGACAGAGTTTGTCAAAAATCAATCTACATGTAATTAATGTTGGTCGTTGTCCGTCTATCGCGATTACTGTCCGTCCATCGTGTTTACAGTTCGTACATCGCGTTTAATTTCCGTCCATTTCGTTTACTTCGTCCATCGTGTTTACAGTTCGTACATCGCGTTTAATATCCGTCCATTTCGTTTACTTCGTCCGTCCGTGTTTACTGTCCGTCCATCGTGTTAACAGTCCGTCCATAGCGTTTACTGTTGTCCATTGCGTTAACTGTCCGTCCATCGTGTACACTGTCCGTTCATCGCCTTTACTGTCCGTCCATTGCGTTCACTGTCCGTTCATTGCGTTTACTGTCCGTCCGTCGCGTTTTCTGTCCGTCCATCGCGTTTACTGTCCGTCCACCATATTAACTGTCCGTCCGTTGCGGTTACTGTCCGTCCATCTCCAACTTTTTATTACCTGCCCATGCTTCTTCTGGACTGACCCTCTATTTTGTTAATAGTCCGTTTATCTTGACTGTCCGTCTGTCTTGTTTATTGTCCGTCTATCTTGGTTACGTTACTGTCTATCTATTTTGTTAGTAGACAGTCACTGAATGAACGCTCGTGCTAATATATTATGTAAAGGAGGACACTTGTGTTTTCCCATCATCGTCAAAAAGCATCGGAGAATTAGCAATTTTGTGTCGGTTCAACTAAAAATTTAACAAAAACTGACTTATATATTGCACATGTTCTTTGCGCATGTTCTTATACTAACTGCAAGCTTTAAAAATAACCCAAAAATTTAACATTGATGAAAGACTCTTAAAATTATGATTTATTTTACGTATATATATTATTCTTATGAGTGGTATATCGGAGTTAAGGTGTTCGCCATTCTTCCGATTTAAATTGTTTCATTAAGCCCTGTATAGATGGATTACAGACTTTTCACTTTACTGTATATGGTGAATCTCACCAGGCAAGGCAATAAAAATAGCTTGAAATATAGCTTTAGTTTATTTCACAGACTTTATATCTTTACACCTTAGTATTTGGCTATCCATCTTCCTCGTTATTCTTTAACTCCGCTCACTAAATATTTACTAGAGTGTTTTGCCTTAATGTACTTTGTTTTCATATTTACTTTACGGAACATTTTTTCTGTTCTTTTTTTTTTCTTAACATGTTAACTAACCCGATCTCCTCAGTATTAGAGCCTTGTAACACAGCACTTTTGGGTCAAACGCACTTTGGAGTCCGACCCCAAAGTGCTTTACGTACTTTGGGGTCCAACCCTAATTGGGTAACACACTTTGGTGTTAAAGTTTAACCCCAAAGTGCGTAACACTGGTACATATACATTTTAACATCAGGCAGACGACCGCACTTTGGGATTATAAAATTATAGCCTCTTATCAGAAATATACGGGACGAGACGATGTTTTATGACACTTTTCTTTTTGAGTTTTTCACTTTTTTTTACCTATCCTTACTTTTAAATTTCACATGGATCATTTTCCCCTATAGATTTTATTGTATTTTTTTATCAAGTTGAGCGTCATTCAACTTCTAGTATCATGTTTATATCATGTGCATGGTATAGCTTGAACGATTTTTAATTCTGCTACCTCAGGCATAGGCCATCGCTGCTGTTGTGTGAAAGAAAGTTCTTTGAAGAAGTACAAACCGCTATCGACGTTTCAACCATATCACTGTCTTTAATAAATAATTTGTTTACGCCCGTCTGTCAAACTGTCTAAACAAGTTATTAATGCATAAACGCAAATTGAGGTGTGTCTAGCTGGTAGAATCACGACGTGACCACAAGTTTCGAACCAAACATAAAATATTCAGATGCCTTCAGTTCTGTTGCATAAAAAATAATGTAAATCAAATCCGACATGAAACATGAAAATGTTATTAAAACGTCACAAGCTTTGACATGCGCAGTGACCGTTTTAGGTACGTTAAAAATAATGTCGTGCAATTTTGGAATATTACGAAAGTTTCGAATTTTTCAACGTCTTTGTTTTAATTTATCACTTGGCAACATAAGGTATACATAATTGTCATAATTATAAAGGTGTGCAAGTGTAATTAGCAATCTAGAAATTATGATGTTAACTGACAGTGGTTTAAGATAACAGATGTTTTATGGACATCTTGAGGTAAATCTTAACGTGCATAAAATGTCAAAAAGTATAAAACAATGTACAATATTGTTACAGTTTATTTTTAACACAGGTTTAAAGAAAATCAGCCAAAAGCAGCTTTATTTTATAGTCTAAGACAATGTGAAGTGTTTTATTTAATGAATAAACAACAGTTAAAACACTTTACCTTTGGCTAAGAAAGTCCATGATGTTCATTTGATTTTAATTTGATTTGCCTTGCGCATGTCATGTGCTTTTGATAACAGTCAAATATTTTTAATTGTTATGTTCTTTAGGAGTTCTTTTCTTTAATACTTTTACTATGAATTAAAAAAAAAGAAATGCATCCTTTCATCAAAATTGAGCCAGATGATGTGGAAGATAGTGTTTAGACGAATATACAGCTGTCGAAATAACATAAAACAAATAATTTAAAATCGACAGGCGCTTAAATATATTCAAGCCGCTTGACATTTATGATACTTGTTTGAAATTAATGAAATAAACTGGCACTGAGTTATATTCAAGAAGACTGGGCAACGTAGAAGATACACTGGCACTCAAATATATATTACATTCAAGCGGGCGCTCTTAAAGAAGATGATAAGAAATTATGAGCGGGTTAATCATTAAAATAAATAGCAAATCCCAAAGATCACTAGTTTGTCCAAATGCAAGTTAACTTTTTTTTTAAATTAGCGAAACACACACGACTGATTTGAAAACTTATAACAGCACGAAAATGAATCAAATAGGTCGGTAATTAATTACTAGTAATAATTGAAAGGATTGAATTTCTTCGGCCGTAGACTGTTTGCTTTCATCTTCACTTCCGGTAAAACGGGTTATATGCCATGATATTAATTAATTATTAATCCAACTTGCATAACTGAAATTAACAAATTTCATCGTTTTAAGGTAGCCATCAAAAGTCACTTTTTAAATAGCATCTAAGTGTCTTTCTTAAAATTTCTTGCAAGAAAATTTTATGTTTTCATTTTTTTATTGAATTATTTTTCGGCTCAGGTTTACTGTTTCATTTTTTGATATTTGTTTTAAATTTTTTATTAAGACTTTAAAAACTCTATCTTTTTTTAATAGTGTAATCTATGGCATGTTGTTTCCTTACATACTCATAACAACTGTGATATTTTTTTTAATGTAATCCTTTCTTACTATGCACATACTTATTTCTTAATGTGATAATGACTTTTTATTTACAATACCTTACATCTTAAATTGTGATGATTTTAAATGATATCCTTCATTAATGTGATTTATCTTATAATTTGTGATATTTTTTTCCTTTTATGAAATACCTCTCTATGTCATGCCACCAAATGCTAAGGACCACAATGGAAATAAGAGCTTGCTCTTTTTTGTGTTATCCTTGGTTTTGGGAACATGTCATGGTTTACATAATATAGTATTTATTCATTTATTTATTTATTTATTTGTAATTGTTTTAATCTATATTGTGTTTGTTTATCATGTAACATGTTTACCTTTATGCCGAAATAAATCTATCTATCTATCTATTGCAGGGCAGTTAGTCCTTGCTCTTTTTCATTTCAAATATAGCCAAATATAATGTATCCTTAAGGCGTATCTTTTACGAAGTATCTCACTTGTTTAAGCATGTGTTTTAATAATTTTTTTCCAAATGTGTGTATTATACTCACATTACAATATATAAATTATAAATTATAAAGAGGTTCTGTCACATACTTATTTTCTTGTATTGTTAAACCATGATTAAGATATGGTCAGTATAAGAGTGGCACACAACTTTTATATATAAAATTGTATCTTTTATCAAGTGGCTACACAATTTATATTTCCACAAATCAATTGTATTTACCATTCCATTTGCACAGTAATGTCATACACTTATTCATGATGACTCTGTATATATTTCTTTGATATTTGTCAATATATGGGGACATTGGGCCAGGTGTACATGTTGTTACTCTTAATACCGAAGTACTAGTATCATAGTATTGGTTTTACACATGCTACTGTGATAAATAAAATTCTACCGAGGAAACATATTGTCAGTGTTGTATTGATAATAAATGAACAATGAAGAAAATTATGAAAGGATTGTTGTTGTAGAATGTTTAAAAATTCATCTAAATGTATGCGTTCCTTATATTTATGGTGTTACACTGAATAAAACAAAAACATCTGATGATGATTTATTTTGTTACTACGGATTTCACAATATCATTATTTTTTATATATAAAAACATGTCATGTGATAGATAGAAAACACTGATCAATGTGTTCGAGTAATATACTCAATGTGACCTGTCCTTTAAATTTCACTTACATAAGTCAATGTACATATGTAGCGAAATTAATCGGGTTTTGAAGCTTTATATTGATCATGTATATATAAATCTTATTAAAACCAAAAGCAGCTGCGGTAACAACTTCCGAAGAAGAAGAAGAAGAAGAAGAAGAAAAAGAAAAAAGAGGAAAAAGAAGAAAAAAAGAAGAAGAATAAAAAGAAGAAAAAACGAACTGAAAAGTGGCGTTCATCTACAATAATTAACACGTGTTTGTTACAGTGATAAATGACATGTCTCATTTATACTAATTATAATAGCTGTAAGTTTAATTAGCTATAAAACCAGTAATAGTCTGTAAATCATTTGGATATGCTTATTTTTTTTTCAAATATGTTTTTCGAAGAGTGAGGATACTCTTCTTTTCCTATGATAGTTCTTTAATTAAATGGTAAGCCTAGTTGAACGTTATATAATTTAAAGTGGGCAACATTTTTTAACATATGGCACAATCGTTTTTAACCTTTACTATGCGCATCCGTGCGTAAAAAATTTAATCACATATTTTTTTTGAATACGTCTAATTAAAAAAAATATATCTATTGGAAGCTGAATTGGGCTATTACCTATACTGTAGCAAGTTTTTTTTAATGACACTGTATTTATAATGACACCTATAGTGTGTAGAATGTAGGATTTAAAACATAACATATTTGTGTGAAGTCAAAACATGTATATTTTATATGTACAAAGAGACTATGTAGCAATTATCAACATTTTCTAATATCAGATTTATGCACAGCATATCTTTCAATACATATTAAGATGAGCAAAGGATTAAAACATGACAATGGAAAAATGCATAAATATATTTCTTAACATGTGTCATTCCGTCAATCTGAAGTTATGAATTCAAATACATGCAAAGGCTGACTGCTTCTGTTTGCGCAATCTTGATAAATAACCATTTATGGATTGTTTAGGTGGATCACTGCCAAGGTGTCGGTTCTGATGGCTATAATTCGTACATGGGAGATAACAAGTATACCAATTACTTATTTATGCCGTGAAAAGTTAATCCTCTTCACCTTCCTTCTTAACTACTCATTTCCACCAAAACAAATTTAATTCATTGTTTATACTATCTGTTACAAGCAATTCACCAGACCTGTTTCTATAACAAATCTAGATTCCTATGCCAGGGATGTACAAATTCAAGATATTCTGCACACTGAAAATACATGTCGGTAAATGGGAGGTAACCCCTATAATGTTCAATGTGCTCTGTGTATACACTGGTTATGTCACCTTAGTAATATTTTTGTTCTCCTTTTAACGGCTATATTGTCATACATGTACTTATGAAAAAGTACATTTTTCAATTTTGTTACACAACGAGACCAGATTATAACATTCATATACTGAATTGAAAAAGAAATAGTCTTAAGAATATTTTTTGAATACTTATTGAAGGAGAATGTTGAAATATTTTGTATCAGTCATTTAATTGTAAATTGATTAATACTATCAAAACTACTTTTTACACGTAATCAAAGTTCTGATGACTATCAAATTTCAATAAAAATCGAACCAACGTTTAGTCTTTTTTTTCCTGCAAATTTTGATGTAAAATTTGCCAATTAGATCTAAATGCTCAGTTAAAAAATCACATAATTTCGCACTTTATACAAGTGAGTATAATTATATTTAAGGCAAATTATGCATCAGAAATGCATATTTATTAGAAAGGTCAAATGCGTGTTCAAAAATGGTTTGATAATGGATTTAAAGCACTAAAGATGTTAAACAACTTAAGAGAGTAGCACTGAACATGCATCAATGTATCGTAGCAAAGCAGTAGCAAAATGTAAACAAAGTAGTATTTTGACATGCGCACAAATACTAAATTACTATAATTTTACCAATTGTCAAAGAGGAATGGAGCAAAAGATACTTTATTTATATGTAACAAGATAAGTAAAGAAAAATGAAAAATAAGAATGACAGAATTTCTGAGGCTTAATATAAGACCACTGATATCATTTTTGATTCCGGACCGCTTACTTGTATCACTATGCACTATTTAAGTTGGGATTTCTCTATACTCATGTGAAATTACTAGTAGTAATCTAGTGTACCGTCCTCTATAAACTATAGATAAATGTATCACGTATGGATGGATGGATGGATGGATGGATCACATAATACAATTATCGCATTAAAAAAAACAACAAAACAACCCCCCCCCAAAAAAAAAAACAAAAAACAGCCGCATATTACACCGAGAACCAACCATCAGACATTACGTTTTGAACTTTTGGAACCATATGGTCATTACACTGGTAAAATCATACATTATATATATTATGGCTTATATTATATGTAGATATGGGCTATGTTCCTCAGTCTTCGTAAAAATTTGCATTATAAGACATTTTTCTATTATAAGATTTCTTTTCTTTCTTTTTTTTTGAAAAATTAATTTAGGGATGATAAGTGCGCTTAATAGATTTCAAAGTTATGTCATTGAGAACGTAATTGGCGCGTGACGAATTAACACGTCACAACCTGACATCCGTTGTCTTAATTTCGGTTATAAATAAGCGCTAGTATGATAATGTTGGTTGACCTTAATTAAATGTTAGTATAAATGTATTTAGTAATGAAGCACTTAAGCATTGTTTTAAGTAATTAGTACATTCGTCTGAACGCTAGATGGTTTACAAATAGATTGTGTCATCAGTATACAATGACTATGATTGAACGTGTTGATTGATGAAAACTAAAACTCAACTAATTAAAATAACAAAAGGATTTTACATATTTGTCTGTGCAATCATTTTGCATATGAAATAAAGAAATAGTCGGAGATGTGATCCTGGTGTAACACATCTGTTAAAAGACAACCAGATTAACATATTTAACCAAAATGATATGCTAGATTCTATGAAGAAGTTTCTGGGATGTTAATAAAATAACTGTAACAAGATTGTCTATCAAGTACATACATCACTATTGAGTAAGGAATTTGTTGATCTCTGGGAATATATCAAGATGAAAGACAAGGTTGTTGAGAAGAATGTGGACTATCCTGAAAATCCTCCATGGACAATGTTCTTTGATGGACCTTTGTATCAGGAATACGATAAATTCATGAAAACTAAAGATTTTTCGCAGGTGAGTGATCCTTATATTATATACATTAAGATTTCTAAATGACCGGTGTAAATTGTGGCTGGCTATTACATGTTTGAGAGGTAGATACTTTGACCGTTGCGTCACCTTTCCCTTGACTATGTACAATATGGCGAGACGACTAACTACAATTCTATCGAACTAAATTCGTAAAAGAGCATTTTATTTACTGATTGAACGTATAACATATAACTGATTTTGTTTTGATTTTGTTTATATGTAAACATGTGAGAAGTACATAACCATCATCAATTAAGATTAGAGAAGAAAATGTCATACATTAGTTTACAATCTGAAGGCGAACAAAACTATAATGATATATTTGTTATTATTGACATCAAACTTTACAACATAAATGTTTTCATAGAGACACATTGCGTGATCGAATAGGCAGATTTATATAAAAAATAATTTGTATTGATTTGTACCGAATCGTCAGTAATTTGTTTGTATAAAGTTTCGATATTTTGTCTTATTTATGAAAGAGTCTTATTTTTGTCTCACTGTGTTTTTATAATTTCAATCTTTTCATATATAATTCAGGTAAAGTACGCCCATGTAAACGTCTTTTCTATGACAGAGAACATAGCAAATGAGATAACAACGTTTAACAATGCTTTCATATGCTAACCACAACACACATATCACTGCATGCATTATGCAAATATAATAATGCTACCTTGAGTTTCAAATCATCAAAATTAACCTTTCACTGACAAAACAAATAAATTATTATTATTTTTTTAAATTGTAAAACAAAATACTTTAAACATAAACACTTAAAAATTGCAGTAAACATGCAGACTAATAATGTTTAACATGTATATATTTATGACCCTCCAGAATATAAATGCATGATCACGTTATTTACGTGCACGGAACGTTATAATGTAAAATTAGCATATCGCATTAGCTTTTAGTATTCCGTTCCCCCTTAAAAATATGATATTTAGTAAGTAAAAAAAGAAAGTAATTTACGTAAATTTTAATTAATAGTTATGTAAATGGCAACGATGATGTAGACAATTACTTAAGCTAGTGTTGAGACATATATTATATTATGTTGATTAGGAGAATAATATTACACGCAGATGTAAATGACACAAGATTAAAAGGATGCGCTCGTCAAATTTTATGAAAATGCTTAATTTTCGACGGAGAAGACAAATATATACATTGTTTGTTTAACTGTCTTTTAGTTAATTAAAGTAGAAGTTTGTGGAGACAACATTTAAAGTGACACATGGAAAAAAAAGATATATGATAAAAATTAGAAAGAAAAAAAAGAGAAAAAAAAGAAAAGCAATAAAAGCCGCTAAAAAGCCTTGGTTTTAAAAGACGTTTTTATAATAATACTGAAAATAGCTGAGTGCCTTTGTATGATTACATGAATTTGTTAACCGGTGTACGCAGTATCAAATGCTTAAAATCAATGACTGTAAAATGATTAGAAATGATTAACTACAGGAAATCTTTTACATTGGCCACACAAAAATAATTTTGCTTTCTGTAGTGTGTATTGAAATTCTAAATCGCGTACGTTGAAACTTTATTACTGAGACCAGATGATAAAAAACAGTTTATCGTCCTCTTGGTTGTCTTCCAAGAAATCTCTATGATATTTGTATGCGCGCTCTATAGCTACTTGCGCGCTCTATAAAGAAAACGAATACCAGTCAAACAAAAAAGTAAATAGAGTGGCTTAGTCATTCATAGATAGTACTACACATGGTATTTTTTTACACTTGTGACCTTAGAAAATAATTAGGATGTTAAACTATTTCAAATAATAAAGACAAAGAATCTAATTACAGATTTTACTTAACACCAAGTTGAGGCTAGCAAACAACTCACAAAGTCCAGAAGCCATCAATCCTGCCTACACTCTAGACGATGAACACTGGGAGAAGCAACAAGACGTTGATCCAACCGGCAGCACGTGAGATTTTACACGCAATAATGCACGAATTTCACGAGCCAGTTACACATACAACACAAATACTGTACTGCTTCTCTGTAACAATAGATCCCCGGCTTATTTAATGTAGTCATTCTAAGCTAAGGAACACATATCATAAAAAGCAAAAATAATATTACTTTTCCGAGTACAAAAATAAAATTTGCATCGAGAGTGGAAAACTTTGACTTTTAACACCATCTGAAAGCTTTGATTATAACATGCATACACACATTGGCTATCTGTAGAAACCAAGTCAGGCATCTCTTTTTATTTATTTATCAAGCGGACATTACAAGAGCTTCGTTTATGACTTAGATTAATTAATTTATTACATTTGTAATTAATACAAGAATCATCATGGCGAGGCTAGCTGTAATTGTGAAGTGTACGATAAGAACACGTACATGTATCTTGCCACATTTCTGTACATACCACGACTATATATTTACTTAATATAGTTTAGTTATGTTAATATATTAATTAAGCGATACCTTGTTTATTTCGTAAATCGAAAAAAAATCATTATTCTTCTCCTTCGACTATGCTTTAATATTCCATAGAAAATTCGTCTGCAAATCAGTATTTTATCAATCAAATTCATATCACACTTTCTCAAATTTATTTCATGTTTAGGATTATTAATTCTATTATTCCAATTTACTGCAGTTACCAGTATGTTTCGGAAGACTATTACCAAAGAATAAGCGAGGATGAAAAACGTCGTACACGGAGAACTCGTGCATTTATCATCATCAGCCTAGTCATCATGGCGGCTCTTGCCTTCGGAACTGCCTTGGTCATTCACTTCGTCTTCATAGAGCCGTGTAAGATAAGTGCATACAATCTTAGTAAGATTTGTACAATAAACAGTTCCCCCAATTAAACAAACAAATGTGTCAGCGTGGTTTTTGACAGTCAAAACTGATAATAAATTATGGTCTCAATAATGCAATATCTGTTTATGTTGTAGATATAGCGTCTAAGTGTAACTACTGTTGTTCTTCATGCATTAATATTGCATATCAGTCAATCGATGGTAAAACATATAGTTTAGTATTCAATAAAGGATATTATAAATAAATAAAGAATAAATTTACAAAACATTTTAAACCTACTCATGCGTCTCTTCAATCAACAAATATGGTCTCAGCAGCAATTGTTTGATGAATTCCATTATCTCAAATGTTAACGGCGTTGTCTCTCTGTTTGGTGGTTATAAAGATCCTTTAATATAATATATCCAATAAAGGTGACCGTTTTATATTACAATATATTTACCATATATATCTTATCTATTTATCAATTACTTACTCGTATATATTGCAATAATTGTTGTTTTGTTGTTAGATAATGTGCTGTATTTTTTTTTCCAGTGGATACACCAAAACACTCTCTAAACGTGTCTTCTTTCGGTAACGTAACCTCTACTGACCAACCAGGTATGTCATATCAACACCTCGATCTTAATTTCACTTTTTAATTATATTCACCATTACATCATTCAAAATAACACTACTACCTGTTTGAATAAAACACCATTTTGTAACCATGAAATGGTTAATAGTTTTTACAATATATTTCTTTAATCAACTTTTTCTTATAAATTGTTTTCAAGTGTCTGAATGGCACAATTAATATGCCAATGTTTATACAAGAAATACTTATTTTTACAAACTGCTTTCAATTTGAGTAATCATCAATATTTCTGTATATGCTAAACCATTTCTGTTATATATTCAATCTATGAATTTGTGTTCAAATTTAACACATATGTTACTATATATATTGTATACAGGACTTACCACGCCGGTCCCTATGGAAAAGCAAACAGAACAGAAGCCATTACAACTTGAGGATTTACTGAAAGTTCCCGATCACAGTCCCCACGACCACAGACCCCATGATCACAGCCCCCATGACGACAGTACACACGACCATATACTTAATCCTGTTGGTAAAATATTTGATGACCAATTTTCAGCTGTGACAGAAATTACTACTACTGGTAAGCTCCAACTTCAGAACTTTTATTATGTAAGAAGAAACTTTTGTATTTTGAAACGATTCATTCTTTATCTTTCTATTGTCTAACGTTCCATCTTTCTCATGTCTCATGTTTCATCTTTCTCATGTCTCATGTTTCATCTTTCTCATGTCTAAAGTTCAATCTTTCAAATGTCTTCCGTTCCAACTTTCTCATGTCTTCCGTTCCATATTTCTTATGTCTTACGTTCCATCTTTCTCATGTCTTACGTTCGATCTTTCTCATGGCTCATGTCTCATCTTTCTCATGTCTCATGTTTCATCTTTCTCATGTCTAACGTTCCATCTTTCTCATGTCTCATGTTTCACCTTTCTCATGTCTAACGTTCCATCTTTCTCATGTCTCACGTTCCATCTTTCTCATGTCTCATGTTTCATCTTCCTCATGTCTCATGTTTCATCTTACTTATGTCTAACGTTCCATCTTTCTCATGTCTCACGTTCCATATTTATCATGTTTCACGTTCCATCTTTATCATGTCTAACGTTCCATCTTTCTCATGTCTCACGTTCCATATTTATCATGTTTCACGTTCCATCTTTCTCATGTCTAACGTTCCATCTTTCTCATGTCTCACGTTCCATCTTTCTCATGTCTCATGTTTCATCTTTCTCATGTCTCATGTTTCATCTTTCTTATGTCTAACGTTACATCTTTCTCATGTCTAACGTTCCATCTTTCAAATGTCTCATGTTTCATCTTTCTCATGTCTCATGTTTCATCTTTCTCATGTTTCATGTTTCATCTTTCTCATGTCTAACGTTCCATCTTTCTCATGTCTCATGTCTCATCTTTCTCATGTCTAACGTTCCATCTTTCTCATGTCTCATGTTTCATCTTTCTCATGTCTCATGTTTCATCTTTCTCATGTCTAACGTTCAATCTTTCAAATGTCCTTCGTTCCATCTTTTTAATGTCTTCCGTTCCATCTTTCCCATGTCTTACGTTCCATCTTTTTCATGTCTCGCGTTCGATCTTTATCATGTCTAACATTCCATCTTTTTCATGTCTCACATTCCATCTTTATCATGTCTTCCGTTCCATCTTTCTCATGTATTCCGTTCAATCTTTCTAATGTCTCACCTTCTATCTTTATCATGTCTCACGTTCCAACTTTATCATGTCTTACGTTCCATCTTTCTCATGTCTAACGTTCCATCTTTCTCATGTCTCACGTTACATCTTATCATGTGTAACGTTCCATCTTTCTTATTCCTTACGTTCCAATTTCTCATCTTTATCGTGTCTAACATTCCATCTTTTTCATGTCACACGTTCCATCTTTATCATGTTTCACGTTCCATCTTTCTCATGTCTCACCTTCCATTTTTCCCATGTCTCACCTCCCATCTTTCTTATGTCTAACGTTCCATCTTTCTCATGTCTCATGTTTCATCTTTCTCATGTTTTACGTTCTATCTTTCTCATGTATTAAGTTCTATCTTTCTCATGCTTTACTGTACATCTTTCTTATGTCTCACGTTCAATCTTTCTCATTTCTAACGTTCCATCTTTATCATGTGTTTCATCTTTCTCATGCCTTACGTTCCATCTTCTCATCTTTCTTAAGTCTCACGTTCCATCTTTATCCTATCTAACGTTCCATCTTTCTCATTTCTAACGTTCCATATTTCAAATGTCTTCCGTTCCATCCCTCTCATGTCTTATGTTCAACCTTTTTCATGTTTTACTGTACATCTTTCTCATGCCTGACGTTCCATCTTCTCATCTGTTTTATGTCTCACGTTCCATCTTTATCATATCTAACATTCCATTTTTCTCATTTCTAACGTTCCATATTTCAAATGTCCTCCGTTCCATCTCTCTCATGTCTTACGTTCAACCTTTCTTAGGCCGTCCTTAAAAAAATGTTTGTTTGCAGTAACCCGACCCAGAATTTTCAAGGTGGGTAGGTAGGTCGATTTTTTTTTTTATTGAACTGTACTCCCAAATAAACATTGAATTTAAAAATGCTGGACAATAATATGCTTTGATAATCTGGTAACAATTAATAAATTGACAACTGAATTCTAATCTAATAAAAACTACATTTTATTTCTTCTATTAACCTTTAAAAGAACAAAAACAAAGCACAAGACATAATTTTCTGATTCAAAAAAAATATTTTTTTATCCAGACCATGAAAAAAAATTTGAGTAGGGGCAAATTTTGTGAGTCGGTCGCGTTACTGCAAACAAACATTTTTTTAAGGATGGCCTTATGTCTTACTTCACATCTTTCTCATGTCTTACGTTCCATCTTTATCATGTTCAACGTTCTATCTTACTCATGTGTTTAGTTCCATCTTACTTATGTCTTATGTTCAATTTTTCTCATGTCTTATGTTCAATCTTTCTAATGTCTCACCTTCCATCTTTCTTATGTCTCACCTTCCATCTTTCTAATGTCTCACCTCCCATCTTTCTTATGTCTTACGTTCCATCTTTCTTATGTCTTACGTTCCATCTTTCTCATGTCTTACAATCAATCTTTCTTATGTCTCACGTTTTATCTTTCTCATATCTTATGTTCCATCTTCCTTATGTCTTACGTTCCATCTTTCTCATGTCTAACGTTCAATCTTTTTTATGCCCAACGTTCCGACTTTCTCATGTCTAACGTTTAAATTTCATCTTTATTATGTCTCACCTTCCATCTTTCTTGTGTCTCAATTTCCATATTTCTGATGTCTTTTTTTTCATCTTTCTAATGTTTTACTTTCCATCTCCATTATGTCACACCTTCCATCTTTCTTATGCTTAAGGTTCCATCTTTCTAATGTCTTACATTCCATTTTTTATGTCTTACGTTCCATCATTATTATGTCTAATGTTCCATCTTTCTCATGTCTTACGTTCCATCTTTCTTACGTCTAACGTTCCATCTTTCTAATGTCTTACTTTCCATCTCCATTATGTCTCACCTTCCATCTTTCTTATGCTTAAGGTTCCATCTTTCTTATATCTTACGTTCCATCTTTCTTATGTCTCACCTTCCATCTTTCATATGTCTTATTTTTTATCTTTCTAATGTATTACATTTCATCTTTCTAATGTATTATGTTCCATCTTTCTACTGTCTCACCTTCCATCTTTTTTAATGTCTCACCTTTCCATATTTCTAATGTCTCAACTTCCATCTTTCTTATGTCTAACGTTCCATCTTTCTTATGTCTAACGTTCCACCTTTCCTATGTCTCACCTTCCATCTTTCTTATGTCTCACCTTCCATCTTTCTTATGACTAACGTTCCATCTTTCTTATGTCTTACGTTCCATCTTGCTCATGTCTTACGTTCCGTCTTTCTCATGTCTAACGTTCCATCTTTCTTATATCTTACCTTCCATCTTTCTGATGTCTTACCTTCCATCTTTCTGAAGTATCACCTTCCATCTTTCTGATGTCTTACCTTCCATCTTTCTTTTGTATTATGTTCTTTTTTTCTTATGTCTTACCTTCCATCTTTCTAATGTCTCACCTTCAATCTTTCTTGTGTCTAACGTTCGATCTTTCTTATATCTTACGTTCCATCATTCTCATGTCTTACCTTCAATCTTTCTTATGTCTTATGTTCCGTCTTTCTCATGTCTTACCTTCCATCTTTCTAATGCCTCACCTTCCATCTTTCTGATGTCTCACCTTCCATCGTTCTTATGTCTCACCTTCCATCTTTCTTATATCTAACGTTCCATCTTTCTTATATCTTACGTTCCATCATTCTCATGTCTTACCTTCAATCTTTCTTATGTCTTACGTTCCGTCTTTCTCATGTCTTACCTTCTATCTTTCTCATGTCTTACCTTCCATCTTTCTAATGCCTCACCTTCCATCGTTCTTATGTCTCACCTTCCATCTTTCTTATATCTAACGTTCCATCTTTCTCATGTCTTACGTTCCATCTTTCTAATGTATCACCTTACCTTCTTCCATCTTTCTCATGTCTTACCTTCATCTTTCTTATGTCTTACATTCCATCTTTCTTATGTCTTATTTTCCATCTTTCTAATGTCTTACATTTCATCACTTCATGTCTTACGTTCCAGAAACTCCTGTAACATCCACCATGTCAACTTCTACAACTTCGATATCAACAACGACACTGACCTATCTATTACATTTGAATCCGTACTCAGGCTCGGACGGAGATCACGTACACATGCATCCCAAGGACAAGAGTAAATTAATCACGACAACACGAGTCACTTCAGTTATAAAGAAAGCGAAGAAAAAACCCACATCTACCACATTGATTGATCATATAGACTTTTTCGGAATGGACGATTCAGCTTCTACAACACAGTCCATGAACACAACTCTTTCCGATGCTGATTTCTTTGGCATAGATGAATACTATTACGATGAAACAACTATTTCCAAACCTGAAACAAGTCCACAAGTAACATCTAAAACACCTTCAGTAACAACAGCTTCTAATGCTGCAACATCTACAGTTAATTCATCAGGTTCTCTAACTTCTAGTGTGTCAACTCATTCTGGTCATGATTCTTTATTAAAGAAGAATACGACAGAAGAAACAACGTCTAAACCAAAAATATCTTCCATTGTTGAAGTCACAATAGTACCATAGTGTACCATAGGTCTTGTAGACTTTCTGTATATAAAATCTTCCAGTATGTAAATATGTATTTTGCTTTTAAAAAGGTCAAACATCTTTCAAAAACTACCAGAATTAAGACCAATCCAATAGAATTGTAAGTTATGATGTCAAAAATATATATTAAGCTTCTTTTCAGAAAAAAGAGAGTACATTTTGTTCACATTTAGGTTTGATAAGAAACAAATCGAAAGACAAGGTAGATAAAATTTCGAATATTTTTTCATTCTAATGTATGTAGCCTATGCTTAATGATTGTCCTTCCGTCCATTAGGCCATACAAAGTAGTTTTCGCTATCGAGTATGGACCACGGACATATCACCAGTCATCCACTTAAAGGGTTATTTTTAGGCAAACAGCGGTTATGTACCACCGTGCATTTCCACAGGAGAAAAGATATACAGTGTATTTCGAGCCGAAGAGAGGTCACTGTAAAGTGGCAAATGAGAACATATACATACAGTAACCAGAGACAATGAGTTACAAGAATTTGACGAATGCAATAGCCGAGATACAGATTTTAACGGATGCAATAGCCGAGTTACGAGAATTTGACGAATGCAACAGCATCGAGAATTTGACCGATGCAATAGACGAGATACGAGATTTTATCGGATGCAATAGCCGAGTTACGAGAATTTGACGAATGCAATAGCCGAGTTACGAGAATTTGACGGATGCAATAGCCGAGTTACGAGAATTTGACGAATGAAACAGCCGAGTTACGAGAATTTGACGAATGCAATAGCCGAGTTACGAGAATTTGACGAATGGAATAGCTGAGTTACAAGAATTTGACGAATGCAATGGCCGAGTTACGAGAATTTGACGAATGCAGTAGCTGAGTAACCAGAATTTGACGAATGCAATAGTTGAGTAACGAGAATTCGACGAATGCATTAGCTGAGTTACGAGAATTCGACGAATGCATTAGCCGAGTTACGAGAATTTGACGGATGCGATAGCCGAGTGACGAGAATTTGACGAATGCAGTAGCTGAGTTACCAGAATTTGACAAATGCAATAGTTGAGTAACGAGAATTCGACGAATGCATTAGCTGAGTTACGAGAATTTGACGAATGCAATAGCCGAGTTACGAGAATTCGACGAATGCAATAGCCGAGTTACGAGAATTTGACGGATGCAAAAGTAGAGTTTCGAGAATTTTAGTTAGTTTAACGAAACATTTCCGGAATCTCATAAGTTAATCATCTATATTTTATACCATTTTTAAAACAATTACAATGACATCTACCTTTATTGCTTCGGAAATTTTTGATATCAGTCTGTTTATGTATATAATAAAACTTTCTTCCTTTTAAATACATTTATGTTATACTTACATAATATTTATGATAATGATTTTTTGCTTCAATACCAATGACATTGACTAAATTTCTAAAAATAGGAAAATGTACGTGTTTTTTTCTGCAATGTGATGCACTGAATTGCAATAATGTCTGCAATATTTAAATGAAGTTTGTTTTTTAAATTTATTATCAGGTGCCTTAATGTTTTAATATCCGGTTTAATATTATTTATCCCAAGACTTCATGTCAGCACACATTCTATTTTGTTTTGATTTATGTAGTACACGGTTTCAGTTAGAAATACGGCCTACACGTAAATGAGATGATTTTAATTCAATTTAGCTATTATATTTGTGATGATAATTCTCTTTTTATATATATTTTGTATAGTTGTTCAGTTGAATTGTGTTATATTAAACAGGATATTACATGTATATTAAACTTGTATTGTTGTTGTTGTTGTTGTTCCCACTGATGAAAGCTGTTCTGTATCAGTGATTTTTTTTATATATATATATAATTATATATACGGCCGACGGATAAAATAATGTTTTATTTTCCTTTCCGTGTGAAATATTTAAGTAGGATTTTATTCAATATTTAATGTTTCACTCTGACTATAAGAAAATTCCCTACATTTAAAATTTGCATCCTAATTTACATAAATTTAAAAGTTTAAAGATATAAACATATGAGGGGTGTTCGTTTAGTTCTTAATTACATATCAGCATTTTACTTCCAAACTAATGATGCGTTAGATTTTTGTTCTAATTTAATAGAACTAAATTTCGAAAAAGAAAAATGATAAAAAAAACAAAATAAAGTTTAAAAAAATGTTTGCATTTTCCAATGATTGCACTGTTGCAAGTAGTAACTTGAAAGGAATTGCACGGGAATTTTGTGCATCTTTATTAATCTTATATCAAGTTTTATTTGTATGTCATAATTTATATACTTGAATATGCTGGTCAATTTATTCATTAAATTTTAGCATATCGACAACGTTGTTAGGAAAACATTTAGAATTTTTTTCGTACATCTTTTTTTTCTATTTTTTTTTTAAATACTTCATAATATTATAGAAAAGGAAGATTAATTCGTTTTCGTAATTTATTTTCAAGTCAATAATGATGAACAAAAACGATGCAGAATTACTTCAACTAAATTTTGATTCTTTGTCCACATCAAATGTTCAATTAAAGAATTTCAGATGAAACTGTTTTGAAGCGAGAAATGACAGCAACACGTTGTGAACTTAATATTGGGGTGAATTAGGTTTCTTCCTTAAAAAAAAGGCAACATATCCCAAAACGTTAGTACTATCCTATGGTCGCTATTTAAAACATTTTGATAAACTCAGAGACTTATAATGATCCTATATATTTAAGAATTATGTAACGACCCTCGCATTTGTGAACACTTTATATGTTAATATCTCTATTAAAAAGTTATTTTCAGACACACAGTATTGTTTACATATTTTATGAGTTAATGATTATCGCGGTTGCATCGTGCTATAAACGACATTAAAACTTGTTGCCATAATTGAATTAACTATTTTAATTTACTACAGCATATGAATACAATTTATGTTAAGTCTTTTTCATTTTCATTGAGTCATCTTAGCCATTTAAAGCGTAAAATATTATAAATTATAAAACATGTCAACCTCGCATATATCCGGGTTTATTTATTTATTTCAGTTTTTAATGAAACCTTTTGAGTTGCAATTTGAAAGGCTCCTGTTTACATGTTACTTGTTTCTTTTTTGGTTTTGAAAGAGTTTCTTTTGGTTTGGTTAAAACAAATTTGGTGGAACTTAATTGTGTAACAAGTTTTGCAATTTATATATGTATATTAATAACTTTCTTTTCACGTTGGAACTTACAAGTACTGGTGTCCCTACTGTTTTTCCTACCTAATTTTGTACATTGCCGACACCATGGTTTAATCAAATACAACACTTCTTTGTACCCACGAGCAACAAAACTCTTGTCGCGACGCTTTTTAAAATAATATAAGGTACTAACGAACTTGGCTGTATTGATACTTTACCGAGTGTAATTTTGTGTGTTACTTCATATTGAACATGGAGAGTTCGTGTGATACCTAAAGTAGAATTTGTGTTTATACCCCAAATATGGAGCTTGTGATATGCCTGTAGTGAAGTTTGTGTAATACCGTTCGTAGAGCTTGTATTATAAGAATATCTTTCTATTTAAATTGGAGCGTTTTCAGATAAAGATTTATTGTTAATGGTTTTGTTTTTAGAATTATTCAACAAGAAATGTGAAGTGGTTAAGCAAGGTGCTCCTATGTCCTTCCGACCAGACCTAAGCTAAATATCATTGATTACTATTTGTAGTGACAAACGAATATGCTATAATTGTGTATAGCAACTTTTCTATAAGCAAAGTCCTTATACAGAAAAATCGCCGAAAAGGCGAACATAATTGGGTCCACTTTGAGTGCAAATACCTTATCATGAGGCCATGTCTCAACAAAGCTCACCCGTTCTTTTTCCTGAAGTCTGATTTTATCTTAACAGAAATATCAAAAAGAGACATCACTGGTGATAATGTTACTTATAATATGGTTATCTTAATCTAGCCGGTGCTAGGGGGCGTGAGGGCACTTATTCATTATCCTTCATGTACCGAGTCTGCAATTTTCATGTTATTTTGTTGTGATTAATGCTTCCGAGGGATCACTTTGTCCTATGTAACGATTAATGAACAAGCTGTGTTCAGTGTACTTAACTCCTTCAAGTAAGATACCTTTTATATATTGTCTATATGTCTCTACGTGCTACTGTTGCTCCATTTTAGAATGCAACACCACGTGGATGTACATATTTTCTTTATAATTACCAGTTTTTTAGAATAAAAAAATGGAATCTTTGTACACCATTTTTTCTTTAAAAGCATAATTGTGGTTTATTTGCCATTTTTTGCCATTCCACCACAGGCATACGGTTATACTCGATTTAATTGCAACTAAGGAGCATCAAACTATATTGTTTCTCAAAAGAGTTAAGTTCAAATGAATTTTTATTATAAAATACTTTTACAAATCAATCAAATATTTATGTTGATGATCAATGATTTTGCCTTGAACGACAAAATGTTAAAACTGTACATGTATACATTTGTAAAAGTAACAGTGAAATAATGCATTTTAATCATTGTGTCTTAAACGACAAAAATTGTTCATATTTATACAGTACATTTGCCACACACAATTGTTTATGTAACAGATAAAACGCTAATTATACGTCATGTTTAAAATACTATATCTATATAGAGATCATGAACTTATTTTCTTATTAACAAACACTATGTCCGTCTTTCCATATATATGATTAGTCATCAACTGAACACTTATGAACCGAGATGTTAAACTTTTTACAACATCTTTCAAATACTGATTTGTTCCATGAACTTCGATATTAATCATGCTGACGTCAACATCTTGAAACGGAAATGACGTCAACAACTGCATTTCCTGCCCGGTGACGTCTAACACAAGTAAATCAATGCTGTTCCGTTTAAGGGATGTTAATATGTCCGATAATGTGAAACAAGAACCCTCGGTGATATTATTTAACGGCCAGTTTCCAGTTGATGCCTAGAAAAGAAGAATATCATTCAGACACCATACATGCTTGCATATTATGTTATTATCGATTCGACGTTATGCATAGTTTGCTCTTACATGTCAACAGTGGAGGCAGCATAAATATGATTTACATTGAACATAAAATGATTCTTTTCTTATTATTTATTGTTTCATATATTTAGTTGCATTTAATATGTGCCCTACACGCGTTTATGCAGTTACTGAAAATAGTGAAAGAATTTATAAACAATAAACAATTAAATTTCAATGTTACAAAATTTACATTGTATTACCGTTTATTGTAATTCCTTTTTCTATAATTTAATTTCTCACATTATTATATTTTCTACAAAGGTATCGTACGCATGTATTTTAATGAGCTTTAGTAATGTGTTTAAAATCAGTTACCTAAAAAACAATCAAACTTACATGTATACAGGCTTGTAGAAATTTGGAATTCCTCCTCATGTTCATGAGGGACTCGAGCTTCTTGTGGTCATGTTCTACTACTAATCCAGTCCAACCTCTACTTTTCTCCAATAAATATGTCAGCGAATCTGGTCGTACTCCGTCAGTTCCGATCTCCACGAAAAATCCATGCTCCTGTTGAAACAAATGAAAACAAAATCTGAAAGTGATGTATATGCATATCTTTATTAATAACCAAAGAGGGAGCATCATTAAGATAAGTTTTTCGGCCGTGATTAGCCTTGTTTAAGTAATGCTCCATAATGCCTGAGTGGCCTTACAATGAAGACCCTCAGCAATGCTTAATAACAACACACGAATTGTCTGTCCCGTAAAGAACGGGACAATTATAGCGAATAGCCTGTATATTTACCGGACGTTAGGTGAATGATCCAAAACGATGTAAACATCATCATATTAAGGATTGTTGCTTATTCGTTAACATTACAATATACCTCACAAAGTTATTGTTTGTGAAAGCAAATCAGTCATTGGTAATGCAAAGGCTGATGAACGAAAGCGAAAATAAATGGAGGAAAGTTTTTGTTTTTATTGAAATTGGACTATATACACTTCAAGGTATAATATTAAAAGATCCTGATTGTTAAACAAGAGCTTAGATAATGTAGAATTTTCTAAGCTCAAAAAGAATCATAATTCTGGTCAAAATCCATGCAAGAGTTATGGGTCTTGGACAGTGGCCTCCTATGATGCTCTCAAATAATTATTTGCAGTTTCAATCCATTCTCTTGAGTAGTTTTGCGGATACCAACCTTCACGCAAAAGTTTACTCATATTTTTATAGGTATTACTCAAATGGCCTGACTACGGCATTTAAAACATTTGAAGATAGTGATTTCAATGAAATAAACAAGAAACAATCACTTAATTGCTAAGCTTTTTAAAAATTCCACAGCGTAACAGATCTGGAGATTTGATGTTATGCAGTCCAATAGTGTAACAGCCTAGCAAGATGCAACACTAAATCACCATAAGCAAACACATGCACGTTCTACAAGTATACAGAACAGCTCGTTATGGTCAGGATAGAAACACTTTGGCATTTCTTAACATTTCTGTTTTAATACCACTATTGATATACAGAACCAGACGCAATCAAACCGAATCGGTAATTTTCATGTAATTTTGTTGTTTTTAATGGTTCCAAGGGATTACCCTTTTTCAAGATTTTTGACATTAATGTTCAGCGTATTTACTGAAATGTTTTCATCACCACATTGGCCTCAAAATTCAGTGATTATTGTTTTGCGCTTATTTAATTTAATCAAGTTTTCATTTAGGGGGTGGAGTGGTGGGGAAGGGTTATAACTGTAATTGTAATTTCTGAAGATTTTAGGGCGTTTTAACCTATATACATGTACTCGTATACTATATTCTTAGTTTCAATGTAACCGGGTTGTAACCTTTTAAACACGTTAAAAGGCGTGTATGATAAAATCTAAATACATCACAATGTGGTAAAGTACATTAATGTATTTTCATTTTGTTCAGGTGCTAGGTTGCTAGGTATATGAACATGTCTAAACAGCATTAAAATTCTTCAGGTAAGAATAATATCTTTATTGACACAGCTCAATAGTTTTACGTACAAACCCCTTCCTCTTATTTATATTTGTTAAAAAGCCTTGTCAAATAAACTAATGCATTGCTGTCGAAGTTCTTCATGACGTTAAATGTGTATTAATGTAAAACCTGCAGACATGTTTAGAATGATAATGAATATAATTATTATACCATTAAAATTGTATACAGTTATAAAATATATTGAATGAGACCCATCAACCCTTACCATGATATACAAAACATTAGTTATTTAAATGAACTAGATCTATTCATTAACATACTCTCAATTGATCGTGTAGGAGTTAGGCGTCTCTATAAACTTTTGCTATACCCGGTAGTATACAAAGGCAGTCAGACATGCAAACTGTCACTTAACAGAATTGATGTCAATAATCATATAAAATGCACTTTAATTTCTAATTCTAATTCTAAAGACGATTTTTTAAATGTCTGTTGAGCAATTTTAAGTAATTTCAGTTTATATCTGAAATTTTGATTTGTATAAGTCTTCTTTTCACTTCTCACACAGGTATTATGTTTTATCTTATCAAAAGTCAATTTTTTAAATACCATAGGACTTTGCAAAAACAACAAACAAAATGAAATGCCATATTTCTGTTAAGATGTAAAAGCATTAAAATGTACAGTATCGTAAAATAACCTGTTCAGAACTGCTTAGTCTTTTATTACTGATGAAAGTATCTTTCTCTCTATATACTTTAGCTTTATGATTACTTCTTTTATATGAGAGTTATATAAAACTAAAACGGTGATGTTAACTTCAAACTTATCTTTACACGAACTACATCTAATCACTTTTCTTCCTTGCTAGGTTTATCACAATCTCGGCACACATTGACCATTTTACCGTAACCAAAGATAACCCGCTATACATTTATTCTGGCTGTTATAGAAAGATCTCAGATGCCCCCTTACATATGCATATAGACTATTGGAAGAAAATTTTCAGATGTCCACCTGTATACATTGATTCGGGCTATATAAGGAAGATCCAAGATGTCTAGCTACATTAATTCATGTTGTTGGAAGAAGATCCCAGATGTCTAGCTATACATTAATTCATGTTGTTGGAAGAAGAACCCAGATGTCTAGCTATACATTAATTCATGTTGTTGGAAGAAGATCCCAGATGTCTAGCTACACATTAATTCATGTTGTTGGACGAAGATCCCAGATGTCTAGCTATACATTAATTCATGTTGTTGGACGAAGATCCCAGATGTCTAGCTATACATTAATTCATGTTGTTGGAAGAAGATCCCAGATGTCTAGCTATACATTAATTCATGTTGTTGGAAGAAGATCCCAGATGTCTAGCTATACATTAATTCATGTTGTTGGACGAAGATCCCAGATGTCTAGCTATACATTAATTCATGTTGTTGGACGATGATCCCAGATGTCTAGCTATACATTAATTCATGTTGTTGGAAGAAGATCCCAGATGTCTAGCTATACATTAATTCATGTTGTTGGAAGAAGATCCCAGATGTCTAGCTATACATTAATTCATGTTGTTGGACGAAGATCCCAGATGTCTAGCTATACATTAATTCATGTTGTTGGAAGAAGATCCCAGATGTCTAGCTATACATTAATTCATGTTGTTGGACGAAGATCCCAGATGTCTAGCTATACATTAATTCATGTTGTTGGACGAAGATCCCAGATGTCTAGCTATACATTAATTCATGTTGTTGGACGAAGATCCCAGATGTCTAGCTATACATTAATTCATGTTGTTGGACGAAGATCCCAGATGTCTAGCTATACATTAATTCATGTTGTTGGAAGAAGAACCCAGATGTCTAGCTATACATTAATTCATGTTGTTGGACGAAGATCCCAGATGTCTAGCTATACATTAATTCATGTTGTTGGACGAAGATCCCAGATGTCTAGTTATACATTAATTCATGTTGTTGGACGAAGATCCCAGATGTCTAGCTATACATTAATTCATGTTGTTGGAAGAAGATCCCAGATGTCTAGCTATACATTAATTCATGTTGTTGGAAGAAGATCCCAGATGTCTAGCTATACCTTGACTCATGTTGTTGGAAGAAATTGACAGATGACCCTTTGATGAAAAATGATGTCCGCCCTTTTTATACAATACATATTGATTCAGGCTTTTAATCTTCAAGGAACATATGCCATCCCTCCCCTATTGGAGGGAGATCTTCGATGTCTCGCTATACATTGATTCAGACTGTTGGTGGAAGATTCTTTATGCTCCTCAATACATTAAATTGATAATACTGTCGGGGGAAATTCCTATATCCTGCTCCATACATTTATCCAGGGTGTTTGGGGAAATTCCTATATGCTCCTCTATACATTGTTTCAGACTGTTTGGGGAAATTCCAAAATGCTCGTCTATACATTGATTCAGATTGTTGGGGGAAATTCCAATATGCTGCTCTATACAATTCAGACTTTTAATTCTCCTAATTACATTGATTCAGACTGTTGGGGGAAATTCCTATATCATGCTCTATACATTTATTTAGGCTTTTGGGGGAAATTCCTATATGCTGCTCAAAACACTGATTCAGACTGTTTGGGGAAATTCCTATATGCAGCTCTATATATTTATTTAGGCTGTTTGGGGTAATTCGTATATGCTCCTCTATACATTGATTCAGACTGTTTGGGGGAAATTCCTATATGCTCCTCTTCACTTTGATTCAAACTGCTGGGGAAAATCCCTGTATGCTCATCTTCACTTTGATTCAAACTGTTTGGGGCAATTCCTATATGCTTCTCTATACATTGATTCAGACTGTTCGGGAAAATTCCTATACGCTCTCTTCACTTTGATTCAAACTGTTGGGGGAAATTCCTATATGCTACTCTATTCATTGATTCAAACTGTTGGGGGAAATTCAGTTTGGCCATGTCGATGAAGGAAGATAATAATGAAGTTATAATGCGATTCATCAAACTTTATTCAAAAACCCAAACTTGCATTAAATATCGTACACAATATAAAATGATGTTTTTCTATTTAAACTAACAGCTTCTGTTCAATGCTGTGAAGATATCTAATACAGGAGAATATTCGCGTGGCCAACAATATAACACAAAAATCTTTATTTTACCATGTATAATTGTAATAATCTTAATTATAATATATTTGCTTCTATATTTACTTTCTACATAGTGGCTTTAGAAAGGAAGATATAAATATTAAATATCTTACTGAAAGTCGTAATACAAACATTGATAATACGACCATGATCCTGACAAATTCATTCCAATTAATTATAACAGGAAGTCAAACGTAAATTACCTCGTAATGTGCAGACAAACTGAGTGAAAAAATGAGATATATACGAATAAGAGGTTAATACATGGCAGGAGAGGGCCGGAAGGTGATAACCGGCCCGCAAAATGAATAATGGACCCGAGGGCTTTAAATAGCCCGAGGGCCATTATTCATTCAGGGCCGATTATCACCTCCCGGCCCTACTCTGACGTGTATTAATGTCTTTAATACACTAAATGTAGATCTAATAGTAGCATTTTAAAAAAAAAAATACAACAACAAAGTTCTTTTGTTGAAAGTCTTGTCTACTTTTCTACTGTTCTGTACAGAGATGTTTACTGTTTGTGTGTTGAAAGCAGTAGAATCTAGAAGCAAGTTTTATTTTCATTTTTTTCGGAATGAATTTGTCATAGATCTATTATTTCTTCAAATTTCAATAGTAACAAAAATGTGTTTGCACTAAATACGCTTAAGCTCTCATAATAAAAATAAAGCAATTCGTGCTGACAACCTACTTTCACTTTTACAGTTAACTGTTTGATGACGTAAAATATGACGTCATTGTTTCAGTTTGTGCACGTGCACATGTTCTGCGGGCTGATAACTAGTTCTCGGCCCCGGGCCGCAAACTCATAATAGGTCACGTGACACTCATAATCAGTTGAAATCATAGGCAATTTTGTTACAATATATAGTAACAAGTGTATTAACAAGCAATAATCTAGCACTGTCATAGATATACGACGGACGACGTACGACGGACGACAGACGACGGACGAAGAGTGATCCTAATAGCTCACCCTGAGCATATGCTCAGGTGAGCCAAAAATGAGATATAATCGAACAAGCAATAATCTAGCACCGTAATAGATATAAAATCTTACCTTCTTATTCAAGTATCTGTCTATCACACGAAATTGTCCTCTCGATGTGTCAAACACATCGTTATGACCCCTTGAATCATAAGTAAAGTTTCCAGCCCGGGAATCAGTTATTCGTTTACGAATTTCGTCTGCTCTTCTTTTACTTTCTATGTCGTCTGCTTTCTTTTCATACAATGAGTCTTTTTGCACTGTGACACTTGTCTCGATGCTTGCTGTCTTTCTGACTAAAACATGACCTTCAATCGCTGCAGCACTGGGGAATGAGACAGTTCCAATCGAAATTGAGTACACAGAAAGTAGCAGAATACAAGTTATAATTAGGATATAACTTTTCTTCAAACATCTTCCGATCTTCAACATTAACCTCATGTTAAAAATGGATGTTAAGTGGGTTTTTTGTTAATAAATGACGCTAACTCTATTTTGCAGCAGAGCTTTTCAAATATTGAGATATAAAGTTTTAAAACGAAAATAAGATCAGTCCCTCTCTGAAAATATCCGTTAAGTGATATAACAGGACGTGTTCTTTTTAAAACATGATTTTATCTCCGCTTCCCCGTTGGTGTATTATCCATTAATTTAATTACACTCAAATCAACACTGTAGTGCTTTATAAAAGTATCTTCTCCATTCCCATCATTAAAGATGGTCCATCATTAAGTGTGGATTATTACTGTATATACAATGGTAACAACCAACAGTGTGCACTCTCCGCGAGACAACAAAACAAGGTATAGGTTTATATCACTGCGGTAAAATATAAACGGTATATTACGCCCAGTGAAATAACGCACTTCGACCGTACCATCTTTTTTTATAAGTTCAAGGGTGGATTAGGTAGAGATTAAAATGTAAACGGTGCAAAAATATCCTGTCCTATGTTTAATATCAATTCAGATTATGTAAATATAAACTTTGGTTAATCTGTAGGTAACTTCTTCAACCGGGAATACCCATTTGATAGATATTAAAACATACGTTTTCATTTATCTTTATAAAAACTACTTAAACGCGACTCTGTACAAATTTATTTAGCTCAGAGGAGTTTTTTGAAAAGTGTGTGTTATTAGATGCACTCGTCCATTTAATATAATCACATATTCTTTATAGAGTTTAAAGGTTGATTTAATATCTATGGAGATTTATTTGCAATTAAATGTATAGGTTTTTTTCAGGTGTAAAAGCTTATGTTAAAAATCCACATTTTGCAAAGATTGTTAATCAGACTGTTGAAAATATTTACCCCATACCTAACAATCTTAAAATCTCAGACTTATTTACTTTTTGTGGTTTAAAATAGTACAAAATAGACATTTATTTCACCGAAAAACAAATACATAATTTAATGTAAACTATATACCAAAGAGTAATTACAAATGTCATATTTTTTGCATATTCAACCATATCCTACCGTACCGGTATTTTAAATGGTTTACCCCAATAAATCAAACTTGATGGCATTCATCCGTTACTATTTTCTTACAGTGTAGCGTTAACTTCATTCATAGCGTCAAATGACGTCATGCTCTAAACTATATTCTAACACTTTCGGAATTTTTTCTATATAAACAAAGAAGGCCCGAAGCGTGCATTATTCTACAACAATGCACTCGCCGTTCTTATTATCTCCCTGTGTATTTTCACATTGCGGGCGCCATTTTGTTTGAAAAATCTGATAAATAAAAACAATTTTTTGTCGAATTTTGTTGTGAAAACTATCTTGAATGAAAGAAAATGGTCTAACTAAGAAAATGAATCCGAACACCAATATCTTTTATTCGGTCGTTAACGCTGTACAGACGTTTAAAGTATTGTTTACGTGACGTCACAATGTAGCGCCAAACAGCACGTGCAAAACAATCAAATCAAGTACGTTATTTCAATGTCGCAAACGAGTTAAGTTTTACATTTATTTCACTTTTAATAACTTTTATTTCGCTTGAAAAATTATAGAGTGAAGTAAAATAAACAAACAAAGTTTTATCAACGTTTTCAAAATGCGTTATTCTCAAAATGTTTCTACACACTGAAGATTTAACGACAGTTTTTTTTTCATACCACTGTAACAGCCTTTAAAAGAACGTTTCTATTGGCAACTCTGAGGCGAAAACAAATTTAAACACCAAACATAAAGTCCGACTTTATAGTAATAATCATATTTTTTCTCGACGTGTAAGAATGGAAATAGATATTAATTCTTTGTGCATTATTGTATAATAATGCACGTTTTTCGTTCAAATGCTTTGTAATTAATCACTCAGGCCCATCGGCCTTCGTGATTATATTACTACGCATTTGAACTCAAACCGTGCATTATTCTACAACAATGCACTCGTATTTGATATCTATTTCCTAATCAAATACAACAACAACAACAACAACATTTAATAATCAAATAACGTAATTTTTTAAAGTTTAGACAATGAACATCCTTATCTAAAACCCGTCATAAAACTAACTGGTGAAACATCAATCTGATATGTAAATAATGAAGAAAGCGGCGATGATATCAATGATGATGACAATGACGATGGTGGTGGCGATGGTGCTGATGAACAAAATTAATTCAAAGGGAGTTAATCAAAATGAAATTATTCAAAAAGTCAACGTAGGTTGTATACCCTGTCCTTAAAATTTGGCTAATTAAACGTTGTTTTTTAATGTTGTTTTATGTTAATGTTTTTTTGTTGTTACGTGTTAAATTTGTTTCTTTTTGTTTGGTTTTATGTACATCGCAGCAACACCGTGAAGGTCATATGGCGATTTTCTATTCCAGCTTTACGCATTATTTCATGCACGACGTTCCGATAGCTAGCTTGATAGCTTCCTCAAATATAATAATCCGAAGTCTTCCGCGGGATGTTTGAGCCAGCAAGTGATTGGAAATCAACGCCCTTAAAGGGACTCCACTGAGGTAATGGCCACTGAGGTAATGGGACTGAAATAATTGTTATTAATGTTCCATTTTTATACAGGTCTAGAACAATATCTTAAGTGCAAAATTTCAGATCGATTTGTTTTTCTAATTGTGCAAAATGACCTAAATTTTTTATTCAAATTGGGTTAAGAATAGCACACAAATATAATTTTTAAATTAATCTGAGTATGTTTCCTTATTAAATTTCGTATATCTTTCTGTTTTAAGTGCCCTTTGTGATTTATGTAGGTAAACTCATATTTTATGGTCTTAGGCTTTCGAAGCTAGGCGACTCGGCCACGGACGTCATACGTAATTATAAATATGTATAAAACGCTTAAAAATACTTTGACAACCCTCAACTAATAATTAACATATAGATAAAAAAAATCATGGGACTACGATACCCCTAAAAGACATGAGGGTTTAGTAGAATTTTTTTTGCGAAAGAAAGTCCATAAAAATTATAAACAAACGTAAAATAGATTGTAAATAAAGAAAGAGTCGCAATATTTTTTTGCCTTCATTCTTCAAAAAAAGACCGATTAAATTTCTTATCGCAAATACTTTTCCCTAATATAAGAGATCGGACATTGTTTACATTAAACGGTTAACATGCTTAGATGAAGATAGTATATCAAAGTTTTTTTTTCTACTTGTTTGTTAGATTTTTGCATATTTTAAAACTGGTATATTAACCAAGCGAACAACACAATCTAGTTTCCCCTGTGGAAAATAAAGTAGTGACTATCTATCATGTTCAATAAAATATAGGATATTCGTATTCTAGGTTATAGTGACGTCGCAGACTAAACGGCACAAATGCATCTTAATCACAGAGCATTTATAACATTTACGTGATTCATAACTTGTATACTTTGAACCGTAAGAAACATTTAGCCTTAAACTATTGAAAATAAAAAGAAAATTAGAAACGGCAATTCGATCAGGCATAAACGAAAATGAATCATTGTTAAGCATGATCGATTATACTATAAGGTAATTTCGTTAAACTACGAAATACCGGTGGGAACATTTCAACTTCACAAATTCATGGTTTCACAAAATAACAAATCGACGGTCTACAAAATGACCATGCCAGGCGGAAATCTCACGGACATATTCATTGTGTTAGGACTTTCGGCTTTATAATGTGTAAGAAAGACCCTCAAAGCTTGTATAAAATGGAATTTGTAAAGGGATCGGGCAAAGAGTGTGTAAAAGTTTGGCTCGAGAAAATGGAAAATGTCATGCGGTGATCTCCAAACATATTTCTTGGGTTAGGGCTTTTGACCTTATATTGTGCAAAGGTGACCGTCCAAACTTGTACAAAATCAAATCCGCATTGGGATTTGACAAATGGTGTTTTTTTCGAAAATGTTTACAATTTATTTACAAAAAGAACAAATAGCCGGTCCAACAAACGACCATGCCATGTAAAAAGTTTCAAACATATTGCTTGGGTTAAGGCGTTGGGCCTTATATTGTGCGAAGGTGACCGTCCAAAAATGTACAAACTCGAATCTGCATTGGAATCGGACAAATGGTGTTTAAAGGTCGGCTAAAGAAAATGGTGTTTTTCTTTTCGAAAAGTTATACAATTTATAAGCAGAAAGAACAAATGGTCGGTCAAAAAAACGACCATGCAACCATGCTTAGGAAATGGTATTTTTTCCAGAAAATTTATACAACTTATATACAGAAAGAACAAATCACAAAAACGACCATGCCACGCGGAAATCTCACGTACTTATTGTTATCCAACAAATGGTGTTTTTCACGGTTGTCTCAATAATATGTTGTTTTTTGAATAAAGATATTCTATGTTGTTACATCAAGAATAAGGGTTTGCCATATTGCCTATGTATCTTTTTTTAATATTTTGAGCTTCATAGTAACGTATATTAACTACATATATTATTAGTAAGGAATAAAGTTTGCAATTGCATTAGTTTGAATAATTTGTAATGTTAACATAAGCATCATTTTGACGTCATTGGCACAATGGCAAATGGAGAAGATAACTTTTCAAAATGAATTATTTTGTAAAAGAATCCTCATTCAAAACTAGTTTCAGTAATAGTTCTCAAAGCCATGAAATCGAATTGATTGTTTTTGCTCTAAAGTGAAATATTACTTTTTACCTAGCACTAAAATGACTTTCAAATATTACTTTTAATCTTGCACTAAAATGATTTCCAAAATATTACTGTTTATCAAATCTGTTGTCAATTGAACGATTATTACATGTTATCAACAAATGATAGTTTAATGCCTTCTGCAATATTTCGATTAAAAAATGAAATTGCTCTATACAGGCTTCTTTTCCGATCATTCTTGTCAGAACCTGTTCCCTCGATTTTTTCTTAGGACGGTTAAATACGCAGTTTTGTAGGTTTTAACTAATTATTCCTTTGTTAATATCATTTCTCCTTGAACATGTGCTTTTAAAAAAAGACAAGCTGGATACTTTGATTTTAAACTTGACTTACTTTCATGATTATAGAGATAATGTAAGCAGTCTTCCTTATCTTCGTTAGCATTTTGATTAAATGGTTTACATGTTGTAAAATACTATTTTTACCTGCAATATTACTTTTTTACAGAACAAGAGAAAGTCCGTTGTCATTTATTGTTTTTTATACTATTTATTGTATAAATATACATCATAATTATAATAATGTGTTTTTTCCTCAAGAGAATGGTACATTAAAACTTATACTGATAATTATTGCGTCACATTAGGGTTGTGCCGCTGAAATGATTTAAGGTGCGCATGCTGATAAAGCGAAATGTAAACAATATCATAATTAAAACAAAAACTCTTCTTTCTGCTAATTTTTATTAAAATATTTCAGGTTTAAAATTTTATCATATGTATTCGGAAAAGTACAGAAACTCTATTTAAAAGTCTGTTAGATCGATTATTTCCCTTTCTTTTCCATCATGCCTCCTCGAATGCCATTCATAGGACACTCTGAAATATGACCAAGATAAAATATCAACAAATCAACAAAAATAAAACTTTGTGTGTGTTTTGTAATATTTAACATTCAATTCAAAATAACACAATTGTAGGGAATACCAATAATTTAACGAATATTTATTTAGAGTGATGTTTTTTGTTACATAATTGCACTGATGTAACATTCATCAATCTTGATATAATTGGTTACATTCACACAGTGTTTGCTTAAACGCGAACAGATGAAAGTCCGTTTGAGAACAAAAAAAAATACAACAAACAACCCCCATACTCAAACACCACACAACCCTCCCCCACCCTACAAAAAATAACAAAAAAACAACAAAAAAAAAAAAAAAAAAAAAAAAAAACCCCAAAAAAAAAAAAACAACAACAAAACATACTCATTCCATGTGGAGTTCTTGGCAAGCTGGCGAGGGAAATTCCGAATATATTTCGGAGAGCACTATCGATGACAGATAGTGTTCCGGGATTAGGCATAGGCATTCTTGTGTATACATTCAAGAAAGGGTCGTCACATAAGTTTCCTACCACAGACATCTTGACACAGCCATACAGAATCTTAAAGCGTTTGTAGTCTATGGCAACGTTGATTACAGTGCCACTCCATAAGGCTCCTATAGTTAATTAGATATATTGAAAAATGAAAAACCAGAGATAAGATACATTTTTACAGACATTTATGCCTTTTTGCATACAGATATCTAAAACAGAGAATGTTTATGCATTTAGTAATAATTTACACCCCGTTGATTTTTTAAATGTTCTCTTTTTCAATCCAATTATTTTAACTTTTCTAATCATATATTGCTCTTTCTGCTCTTCTGAATTTAAGCGATTCCATGACAGATTTATAAAAGAGACAAGTGTTTTGAGGTTATAAAGACTAATACGTTTAACGCATTGTTGATCCAATTATCAATCAGCTCCCATTGTCACAAAAATTACTTTTATCTTTTTAAATTTATATAACAAGTTTGAAAAAAAGATATATTTAATGCAAACAATCAAGTCCTATTTATAAGATACGAGACATAAACATACCAATGGGATCTTTAACAGTATACACTCCTGGAACATTTTGTCGAATGAATCTTGATGCAAGTGTGTTACACAAACCTCCATTCCTATATTGCAAGTCATTTCAAATTTATTGATTACGTATATAATCTTTTTTTGTACTTCTCTTCAGTAATATTTAAGTTTATTCGAACTTCAAACTGTGAGTGCGTTTTTTTTTTTTTTTGGTTTACTTTACCATGTTAGTCATTAAATAACAGTAACAATGACATATTAGTATAATTATCAAGTTGTATTTCGTAAAGATCAAGAAGAAAATATACTAGTGTACTGACAGTTCTGCATAACTATATTTTGAAAATATCTGCAGGAAAAGAAGGAAAGAAAGTTAAAAAGTATAAAATATTTTTAATGCCTGAATACTGTGGATAACATTTTCTTAGATTGAACATTAGTGACAACATAGTCTATTTGAAGTACCATTCAATAGAAAAAGAAATAACTTTCGCAAAAATAGACTTTAAGAATAAGCCATTTCTAGAAGGAATTATTTTTCAATTTTACCTCCATGTTTCGTAGCTTATCAATGCACCACTTCCTTCACGACTTAATAACTGTGAGAAATCTGAGATTGTGTCGGAACTTGAATACCCGCACCCCGCTAATCTAGCCTGGACAAACCATCGGCCGAGTGACTATAAAATGTATATACCCAAGTTATCATTGATTCCAATTTCATGATATAGGAACCGTTTTATTACTTTTAACAAAAAACGGAAATAATGTTTCAAGTACGATATCAAATTATGAAATGTAAAATAATAGTAAGGAAAATTGAAATGTTTTAACATTTGAAAAGTTTAGATTAGACATTCAGGAACATTTACAGTGACGTTTTAGATAAATTAACTTTCACAAGAAGTAGTCAAGCATATAAATCAAAATAAAAAAAAAATGATGAAAAAAATTAATATATTTTATAGAAAATCGAAATTATTTTTAATATTTTTTCAGGTAGGTATAACTTGGAAATGTTTGTAAATTTATTTGTTAAAAAACTTACTGCATCTTCGTTAAAGAAAGGGACTGGTGGAGGAATTCGTTGTAGCCTTTGCTTCACGTCGTTACCATAAGCAATGCTAAATATAGCAACACATATGAACAGCAACATGAGCCTTGCCATATTTGTCTCTGAAATGTAAGGTTTTATGTTAAAGATCAAACATATTCATTCCCCGAGTATATACATTTACATAATCATATACAAAACAATACAAATAAAACATTTTCTGTACGAAATCTGCTGTGGTCATAGTATTATAAAATTCTTCTTGTGTGTTTTATATCAATCTAAACATTTGTAATTTTAACATGCAATTATGCAATTTTATTACATTTTGATTGATAATTTTATATGCGTATTAAAAGTTAAGTGTCAAGTCAAAAAAGATTTTATTCGAATGTGCAATTTTAGTTAGATAGAAATGATATACAATTATAAATTTATTATAAATTTACATGACAAATTTATACAATAGGGTTAAAGAAAAAATAATTATCGTTAGTATGTAAAGTTGTTTTCTCAATTTTTTCCGTTTTAGTGTCAATGATAAAAAAATAATTGAACTCAACGACTGTCATATACCGACTGCAAAGCGGGTATTTACAACAAATACCAATCGTATAGTAGAATTCGAGCTATACAAACATATCAATGAATAGGTCTAGTAAATTCTAATGTTAATTATGCAATTTATAATTAAAGTTTCGTAGACGCCTTCAATAATCTTGAAAAAAAAAAGATATTCGTGCAGAGTTTTCATATTTTATTTACTTCCATTAAGTATAAAGGCTTTGCTATATGTTAATCAATAAAATATGTTTCTTTTAAGATTATCTTAAAATATTTTCATGGTTCACATGTAAATATGATTTTAGAAATATTACATCCAAATATATATTAATTACATTTATGTCCAGACAATGAAATCTTGATTGCGGCATATTAGAGAGTATATGGATACTATCAACAATTCGTATAGACATTTTATAATCCCAATTGTAATCAAAGACAAACCTTGAAGCTCAAGTGCTCATGGGTGTATCCCACTTTTGCTTTACATATCTTTTCTTAAACAGTCCTTTATTGTATTATTTATTTTCATTATATCGTTGATTGTTTGTTGAAACATATCATAATATACAAGAAAGATATGTTATTTTCCTATCAGTATAATGATTTATCTTGATTTAATAATTTGAAAAAAAGCGCAAGTTTTAGAGTTTAATTGAATTACGCTAGAGAAAATTCAATTGAATAAATCAACTTTTTAAATCATGTTAATGAAATTACAATAAATAAATCCCGTTGAATCATGCAAAACTTATAACTAAATTCTAGTAAATGGGATACTTTTTCCTCTTTCATTTCACGCACAAGTAGAAGCAAATTAGATGAAATTTAGTTAACGCAAGAGCATCTTAATAAATCTCATTTATTTTATAAACTAAAAATAAATTATTATAACAAAATCCAGTTGGATCATGCAAAACTTATAACTTAAGCGTTGTAAGATACTTATTCTTCCTTTTCCCAAGTCTTTCAGACACATGCGACTACTTTTGAATTAGAAGTGTTTTATACTTTTATACATGACAATCACCAATTAATTAAGATAGATGACTCACTCAATCAAATACCAGACAAAACCTATAAATTGAACTCAATAAAGGTTTTAAAAGAATCTTATGTATGCCTTTACTTACCAATAATGATGTATCCCAGGTATCTGTCATTAATCATTAACTTAACTGTGAACTGTATAACAATTATTTATTAAGAACACTTACCTACATGAACTTTACTTTATCAGTGGGTTGTGAAATCCAGTACCAGTTGTTGACTTTAACAAGGCATAAAATGAAAAATGAACCGTGCATTGACTTTTAAACAAAACACTTAAGCCCATTTATACAGGTTATACCAATGGTATTAGCTGCTGGTACTTCATGTGTAAGAAATCCTTATCCGTGACACTTTAGCTGTAATTGTTTGTAAACAATCCTTTTAATCTTGACTTTAAAACTTTTTTAAAATTTTTATGTAAAGTCTGATTTCCTCAGATGAAGAATGTAATTCTCTAACAAACTGCCAAGTAACTTTGTTAAAATCCACATATTTCACTGTGTTTTCCTTGAAATGTAACTTTCATGTGTTGGAAATTTACTGTACGCCGCCATTTTGTACTTTGCATTATTGGTTATTTATAGCTGTTTCATCGGTTAGTTTCTGTAACCACTAAAAGGTAGTGAATTTTTGGTAATAGTCATTATTGTATTTGCCTATAGCTTTATTATTGTAAAAATTTCCTCCATTAAAGTTAAGTTCAGTCCGATCAGTTTATGATCGTTTCCGATCATTTTTGTCTGACAGCCGTCAACCATTTTTGGTTGTTGATTGTTTTTCTACCATTTCAACCACTTTTGGGCAGTGGTTGCGCTTTTTCATATAAATACGGCGAAATCAGCCGTTTAGATCAGTCTAGTCTTGTCTTTCTTAGAAGCAGCATCCTTTTACGCTGTCTTAGAAAATTTGAAACATGTGAAATTTTTGCGGCCATTGAACTTACTGTATAAATTCGTCTGCGGTCTAGCGCCATTAATTTTAGTCAGCAAGATTCTTTACAGAAAGACAATTTATTTACACTTCACTCATTTTATTAGAATTCACATCATTATTTGTTACTGTCTAACAATATATGGTTAATATTTAATGACTTTGAACATTATTTTTCTGCTGTTATTGATAAATGATATAAGCGACTACGGTTCACTGACTTGTATATATTTTTATGGAACGCCATTAACGTCTTAATTTAATACGCGATAATATCAGCGAAATTTTGATTAAAATGCATCCTGTGCTGTACAATAGTAAATTATTCATAAGTATCATAAGTTAACAAACTCCTATGCTGTAATAACATCTTAATAACTGAATTCTGTGTGCATTTAATTACAAATTAACATTGCTCATCATTTTTACTTTGAATTATTATGACAGTTGCTGTTATAATAACATATATTATATAGAGGATATTGAATGAGTGTAATTCAATACTGAATTTATTGCATGAGTTGAATAATATTATTTCATCCAACGAGTACAATAAATTCAGTAATGAACTTACACGAATTTAATATTCTATTTATCACATGCCCAAAATAAAGACCGTTTAATGTGAATTAAGAGCCATTTTTCATTGACGCGCCTATAGTATAACGCTAACACATAGCGCGTCTTTACACTATGTTTGTATAATGCTAATGACGTCACGTCAAAATATATGCACGGCCGTGCAATACCATATTTACGGAGTCGCAAAATCGGCACGGGTGTGTGATAAATTGTGTGATGACAATTATTTATATACACAAAATAGAATTTGTTGAAGTGCTACATCTGATTTGTACTACATTTTTAAAAATACATATATGGTTCAACTGCAAGTAGATGATTCAAACTCAAAGTCTTTGTGCCTAATTAATTCGAATCATTAGTACAGTTACGTCCCTATCAGATTGTAAAAGATAGCGCTACAAAAACAGACCAACAAACAACTCCTGCTAAAGTCCTGTACTGCCGGCACGCGACAATATTAGTGACATCTGCATGTTTTGATATATTGCTGAAGTGGATATCCATTGTTAAGAGACAATGGCTATAACTGGAATTTCATGTTGTAAGAGAGCCATTTGATTAGAGTTTATTTAGCAGCTAACACTTGCACGTTACAGTTTGCATTAAACTATTATAAAAAATCAAGTTGCAACGAATCGTTTTGAATATAACAGAACATAGAGTTAATTAAATTTTAAGGTTTAAACATTATCAAGTGATCCTGTGGAAAACATTAAAAACAGCAAAATTACATGAAAATTGCAGACTCGTTTTTCAATTTCTCAACACTTAAAATGTACAATGATTCCAAAAGGACCAGAAAAATATAAAATATTGAAGTGAAGTTACGGGGCAAATTTTTACGGCTGCCACACAGCACTTGACTCCTGCTGTTGTAGTGTTATAAATTTCTGGAAAAAAAGTGATCCCTTGTAAGCATTAAAAACAGCAAAATTATATTTAAAATTATTGAGTCAGTACATGAGGGATAATGAAAATGTGCAACATCCCTCATGCCCCTAGCACCGGCTTGAGCGTTATTCAGTTCTCAACAACTTAAAGTGCTGGACTCAATGATCTCAAATGACCAGAAAAAATACAACACTGAATAGCATGTTAAATTAATCATTAATATGAATATAACATATACAAAATATAATTTACGAAACTGAGGGTGAGTGTTGAATAACTTATTAAAGGCCCAATCACTTATATATATTTTTAATAAAAGTAATTATCGTACATTTAAAAAATAAAAGTTATTTTCAAATATCTGACATATTCTATTTTCTCTGTCTTTTCCATTATTGCCGTATCTATGCATAGAAAAGGTGCTCATTCTAGTAATGAATAGTCTATCTTTTATTACAAATCTAAATAAAGTTTTGTATTAACTTTGTAAACCAATGCACATATTTTGCTACTAAGTATCAATTAAACTTCCCATGACTGTAGGAAACAATCAAACAACCTTTGTTTAAAACACGGAATCAAACTTGTACCGTCTATAACTGTGGTTTAACATGTGCAACTTTCAGTTATTATTATACCTTTTTTACCATGAATAGCCTCATTTAAAAGTTCCTTATATACTTTCTTTAGGACACAGTTTATTGGTATTAAAGATTTTAATCCGCAAGGACAATACCTTTGGCTTTTAAAAATATGCCTAGTTGTCATTTCAACTGTAAAAGGTAAATCATTTAAGTAACAGGCTTATCTAAAAAGCAAGTTCAATTTACAATAGCTTTCAATGACAAGACTTCTATTTTATATTTTTCTAATAATACAAGTTGTACTAATACTTATTAAAGTATAGCTCAATGGCAATCAATGTTTGACTAATTCATTTATAACATCGATATGTAATTGAATTGCGCTATATTAACTTTTATGATGAAGCACAGATTGATAAAAATAAATAAAAAAAATATAGTAAATAAAAGAAAAAATAAAATTGAAGTCATAACTGAATGGAATCCATGCATTTTTAAATATGATAAGTATGATTCTACGAGATTTAACTCGCACTGTGAAATTTTAAGACGTATCGATTGTGAAAATATTGATACATGTACCAGTAAAGTATTTGTACAATTAAAACAATTAGAGTCAAATTTAAGTTTAAGGTTTTGTACCTTATAAATCACCAAAACACGAATGGGGAAAAATGATAGAAAAAACACAAAACCGATTTCAAAAGTGAATAATTTGGTTTGCCACACAATCATTCTCATTCTGAAAACTCTAACACTACATCATCATCCTTTATAAGTACTTTTAAGATGTTTTTTTTAATTTAATTTTGGGAATTCGTAAATCTTCTACACAGTTCGTTCACATAACACAGAAATCTTAAATCGTAAGCATGCAATCAAGCATTATGACATTTGTTCTCTAATGCAATTATGTAATTCATTCTAGATCAAAGAATTGTGTTATGTTAAACGTTATGTACTTTCTAATTAAAATTCATTCAATCCGATAATTATGATTTAAATTTGTTTATGTTTTCTCTGTACAAACTGCCCCTTTTTCTCATCAATTTAGTATTGGAAAAGTACTTTTTAAATTTATAAAAAAAAGGGCAAAAAGGAATTTTTATTTAAAATTTTTTCGACCCTTTTCCCATCAAATTTACAAAATGTTTTATATTTACATAACTGAGTACATTCATTTTTAAACGAATAGTAGCTTTTCCATTTAGAAAATGTATTAATCCAGCACACCATTGCTGCAGTGTCTGGTCACATTGTCGCTGAGGAAATATATTGACATGAACAAACATTTGTAATATCAATACAGCCCCTTAAATACAAAACAAAAAATTTAAAGTTTTAAAAATTTTTACATCATTTTGAAAACTATTTGAAAATAAAACCCTTTTGAATCTTTTTTCAAAGAAATTTAACGTGGGAAAAAAATTTTGTTTTTAGTTCTGTTTGAAAAATCCTGGTTAAAGGACAACGGCATAAAATTTTTATTTTATAATGAAATTTTAAAAGCAAAAAATTTTTAAAATCTCGATAAATTTTGAAATAAAATACCTTCTGAAATTATTGCAATGCTTAAATGATAAAAGAGAACAGAATGAATTCCCCAAAGAATGCCAACCCCCGGCCCAAAAATTTAAAAAATTTTTATTTAGCCCGTGGTTTTAAAATTTTAAAAACCCTCCATTTCCCCTTGCCCGAAATTAAACAGTAAATTTTTAAAATTGAAAAGAAAAATGGTTTAAAAATTTTGAATTTTAAACTTTTTGCAATGTTCTTAATGTTTAAGAAAAAACATATCCCTAACTGTGATTTTATCGCTCAATAAAATCACTGTTTCGAGTTCGGATGCGAGGAATTATAACACGAGGGTGTAGCCCGAGTGATATAATGATGCGCATCCGAACGACAAACATTGACTTTATCAAGCGATTAAATCACAGTTAGGGATATATTATTTCAATTCTAACACGAAATTAATAAATAAATGCTGCCATACCTGATTTTGTTTTCGTACTTATTTCAGAGTGGTTACAATGCTTAAATGATTTTACTAAGTTTAAAGAAAATAAAACGATAAATTTTGGAAAAATGCCCGACAGAAATGAGAGAGATGGTTAAGAAAATTGATAAGAATATGATAAAATGGAAATTATTTTGTGAAACTAAGCTTCTTGGTATCATTTGGCTTCAATGTATGAAACCCGAAATGTTTGAACATTTTTAGAATTTAAGTCACTGCTAAGATTCTTGTCAATGATCTGTTATAGTTTAATTTTTTTGTTCACGAACAAGTCTATGCTCGTCTTATTTGTGCAGACGTTGGCCGATGTATCAATGCTACAAAAAAAACAACATTTTATGACAAACTGTTTACACACGTACTTGCAAACTTAATCATAAAAACGTACGAACTATATTTGCATGGAATACTGATTTCTCCGAATTTTGTCAGCTAAGACAAACTTACCTAAATTTGTTACTCGACAATGAATATTTATCCATAAATGATAAATTACACTTTATTAAGAATTAATTATGGTAAAACATTTGAATAAAATATCGCACCATGCAGAATCGAAGCCATTTTTGTTTGCTTTAAAAAGATATTTTTTTCAACGATCAACGCAATTAAAAATGAATGAATGAAACAAGAAAAACACGAATTTTTGTAACTAAAGGAAGTGCCTCTTTTAAAACCTTGAAAACTTGCTGGAACCGATAGCGACTTGAAGACATAATAACAGTCATGTCGTGTTGTCTAATATGGATTTATACTGTTTTTTACCTAATATTTGATTTTCAAATTGAAACGTGTATCTTTTTCGCACTTACAAAGCAGGGTAAATTGTAAGATAAGATCGCAATCAGGGTTTGGCTGCTGGTGCAAGTTTCTTTTATTTTGAAATTTAATTACAACAGAAATATTAATTATACTTGTCTTTTTTCACTGACTTATATGAATCTAAATTTTGAAAAGGGAAAATTTTCCACAGCATATAATAAGTACGTGATAAAGTGTTTTAAAAGAGTAGTAACTAATGTGCAGATCTTCATGTCAATAACAACAACAACAACAACAACAGTAATAATAATAATAACCATTTTCTTATTCTTTCTTCAGAAACAGAAAATATCTAAATAAGACTCTCCAATAAGATTTGATGGATAATTGCGATAAATGCTTCAAACATGATATAAATTATTCATTATAGAAAATAATAAGTACACATATATCAATGCAAATGAATAAAACACATAAAATAAATGAACAATACAAACGAATCAGTACATAGAAAAAATTACATAAAACTCAACAATATATAAGAATAAGTACACAGTTCACTTGTCAAGAATCATAAACAAAAACTTACGATTTCCACGAAATGTTCTTTGGTTACTAGAAAGAAAGAGAACTTCCAAAAATATTTCGTAATCTTGTTTCAATTTCTGTGAGAACTATTGGGTCTGGTTTTGGCTTTATTGTTTATATACTAAGTAAAGGGTCATAACATAGATTGCTCATTACCGACAACTTTATCTTATCTTTATCTTATAACGTTTAAAGTCGACAGCAACGCCCCATACAAATCCTTAAAATAAGAACAATACAATAAATTTAAAAGGATATGCCAACTTTTCTTTAAATTCTAGAGTAAGTTGAGTGACATGCTCACTTGAAACTATATTTGTTTTACAAGTTATTTAGTACTGTTCAAAGAATAAAATATTACATCTTTAACTTACCCTTGGTATCCTTGGTGTGTCCTTTGCAAAGTACATTGACGAGAGATAATGGCACATTTGTATCTCGCTATTCCTAAAAATATCAAATATAATTAAACTAAGTTATAAAGTTATTGATTAATTTGATACATCTTGTTTATATATTTTATAATTATATCAAAGCTAAAAGTGTTTGTTTTTCTTTTTTTCAGAATAGTTGTTCAACCATTTATATTTGAAAGTTTGGTTTTATTAATTCGACTATACGAAGTATATAAAGAGCTGTCCTACAATACACCCTGGCGTCGTCGTCCACGTCCGTGTTCAGATAAGACTCAAGTTTTGGTGCGGAAAATTATTCTTTTACTATAACATTTTAATTCCTTAGGTTATCAACTTTAAACTAAAAGTATATATTTCTTATCATTAATCTCATCTTATGTGACAAGGTTTATAACTCAAGTAGCAATATTTTTTTCAGAATTAACACCCCTTGAACTTAGCATGTACCTTAAAAATATATTTGCTTACTCTTACTTCTTTATTACTCCAGGGATCAACTTCAAAATTTATATGTTTTCCTGATGATCAACCAATCATATGTGACAAGGTTTTTAACTCTAGCAATAGTATTTCCATAATTGTCTAAAAAGCTCAGATTTGTCGTTAAAAATGTTGTTTTTTTCCTGTAACTTCAACTTTTTCAAAATTACCGTCTTCAACTTAGATTTTTCCTTGTAAATGATATTTTTATATATCTTCTTTACTTCTTAAGGTATCTACTTCAACTTTCAAACAATATATGCTCCTTATCATTACCAACATGATTGGCGACAAGATTCATAAAATAGAAAATATAGGAATGCTTAAAGAAAGTACAAACGGCAAGATTGAAAAGTTTGCAGGCTCGGTTTGACTGAGCCTGTTCATAGACGACACTGTCAAATGCAAACTACCGTCCGAGCCCCTTGCACCGGCTTATGCAGAATTCAACAAATTAACATAAAAATGGTAAAATGTTTAGAAACATCTGCAGATGTCTTCTTACGGCTGTTTATCAGTGGGACACTTCCGCGCCATTCAATGAAAAGCGGCGTATGTTCCCTAAGTAAAAGAAAGTGTATGTCCTAAATGAGAAAACAATGGGCGGAACTGAACAAAATGGAAATTTTAAAGAGGATCAGAGGTTATGAAGCCTGCATATCACATATAAGAAGTTAAAAGACAAATTTAAAAAGCAGGCGGTATGCCTAGCATGCAATTTGTTTTAGAATTGTCCTCAAATGAGCTTTGAATTTATGTTAAAAATATTATTTTCTACTATTAGTTCTTCATTTCTGAATGTATCTGCTCCAAACCACAAATATTTTTACTTATTTTCAATAGTTATCAGCGTGTGCCCTAAATGAGAAAACAATGTGCGGAACTGAACAAAATGGGAATTTTAAAGAGGATCACAGGTTATGAAGCCTGCATATCACAGATAAGACGTCAAAAGACGACAAATTTAAAAAGCAGGAAACATATCCTAAAGGTATGCCTAGCATACGATTTGTTTCAGAATTGTCCTCAAATGAGCTTAGAATTTATGTTAAAAAATGTTATTTTCTACTATAAGTTATTCATTTCTGAATGTATCTGCTCCAAACCTCAAATATTTATACTTATTTTCGATAGTTACCATGAGAATATTACTAAGAAAATAAACAAACAGAAAGGCAAAAATTCTGTACTCTAATAGAAAATTGATTATTTCGTTGATATCGTTGATGTATTGTGAAATAATTATAATATAAAAGATCGTACCTGTTAGCTTTTTTCATTACTGTTTATGTGGTTCAGATCTACTCATCTATTTGCTACAAAATTGCATATCCTTTGCTGATACAATTGCTAGTGTTGCATGGATATAAACGTTTTAGCAATAGGTTTAAGTTTGTAACTGTGATATAATGAATTTTATTATTGAATAATAATATTATTTTATTGAAGTTTGTCTGAAGGTAAAAATATCTAATGCTTATTAATTTTATCATCTGCTTCACAGTTAATTTATTCTGTTTTAACTTGAAAAATGTGATACATTGCTGTAATACTAGCCTGTGATAAAATAATTAAAATCTCTCTCTCTCTCTCTCTCTCTCTCTCTCTCTCTCTCTCTCTGAAAGAAACCATGAAAATTTATTCATAATTACCAGGAAAAAGTCTTGAACCAAGCGTGATTGATGGCCCCTACTCGTTTTCATGGCTTAATCAGAAATAGAAAGAAGAAAGCCCGGGAATAAATTTACATAATTCTAGTAGTGTTTTATTGTGAATACATCAATGTAGCTAATGAAAGTCATAACCCTTCTTTTCTAAAGTTAGCATACAACGATTTTTATGATTTTAAAAGTAATCAGAAATGAGTCTACACTGGTTTGAGAGGCACATGCTGGATCGAACATGATATAAAAAGAACTTTTGTTATCGAAAAGTTACATATTTCATTAAATGGTCAGCAAGATGTATTAGTAGAAAACAATCTTATTGTTAACAAACTGTAACATATGCATAAATATACTAGAATTCATAAAATTATTCACAACCTCAAAACGCTTTCAAAGCGATATTACTACATTATCATCAATTAATGCGCTTTAGAAGTTTTATATATTTTAGGAATTCGTGAAGCTTAAGATTTATGTATACAGTTCGTTCATTTACTGTACAAAGGTCATAGCTTTTATCGTAATAAAGCAGTCAAGCGTTGTGTCATTTTTCTATTCTGTAATTATGTCATTAATTCTGGAATATTTGTTTTCATTTTTCTTTCAAATTAGAATTCATTAAATCAGATAATCAGTTAATTATTTTTGTCACATTCAAAATGCAAAGTACATCCGTAGATTTGATCATCAAATTCATCATTAACAATCCAGTCTTTTCATGTTACAAATGCACCCATTAATTTAAAAATGATCTAGTCTAGTACAATTTTCTTCGTTTCTTACTCGATTTGTAACTGACCACTAGAATTATTGTCATTTTGATTCCGTTTACTTTACTTTGAAAAGTAAGTTTGGATAAAAAAATGAAACTTTTAAAAACTAGTTTAAAGCATACAATGTACATTTTTCAAAAAGGGGGAGATCCATCGAAACCAAATTTCATCCGTTTAATTGTGTGTTTTGTTTTTAGTAAAAACATAAACAATTTGGTATGACATTGTGCAGTATTTTTTAAATCATATTGAAAATGTAATATTTTTATATCATGTTCTAAGTAAAATCAAGATAAGCCAAGTGCTAACTGTGATTGCCTATTTCCTATGACATGCATTTGACATTTATTACATCATATAAAGGACTACAAGAAATTAAAGTCAAATAATGTCTTATAACTAAGTGAATACTAACTACTTTGAATTGATATGCTCATACCAATTTTCCTCGCACATACCAAGTTATCAGCAATTTATTTTCACTTGAATGTTACAGTATTAGTCTGCAAATGATTATTTTACAAACAAAATCGTCCATTTCAGTAACGCTATATGTGTTTGTAGACATAAAATTTACAACACGGGTCATTAATTCACATTTTATTTCTCCAGTTGAAATATTGTTAAATCTTATAGTTTTATTTGTCACTTTCATACATTTTCTCTTAACATATTATCTTTTACTTATATAGCTATGTTTATATTCACCAACTCTGGTATTTTATTTAATTTACACGCTCTGGTAAAATCAAAGGTACAAAAATCTTTGTGTGCGTCTATTTAAAAAAAATAAATAAAATATTTAGTAAAATACATGTTATTATAATATAACGTTTATTTATTCTATTTATTAAATTAATATTGCAATAGAAAGACGCTCTGGTGTAATACGTATACAGTACAGATGAAAAAACACACACACACAAAAACAACACCAAAAAAGAAAAAAAAACAACAACACACATCAACAACAACAACAAAAAAACAAACATCGTGTACGTCTATTTTATCAAATAAAAAATAAAACATTATTCAAATAATTATAACATAAAATTCATAATCAAATCAACCAGCACCACATTATTGACTTAGTCTTTAATAACTATCTATGTCCATATCAGACAGTCTCTAATCATAATGACTGTCAAGATCGACGTACTTTATATCGTTACATAAAACTTCTGTAATTCTTGATCGTTTTTACCTAAATTTACACCACAAAGATATTAGATAAATTGATTGTTATTGTTTTTATAATTCTAATTCCGTTATCTAGCTTAAAGCAGTCAGTAACCATTCGTTTGAAATTTTGCTCAAATTTACTATCGCCGTTCCTGGACGGCGATATATACAATTGACAAGATTTGAACAGTTCTACCTGTACACCGCCTGCCTTTAGCCAATCAAAGCGAATAATTCAATATCACATGATAACAAAATGGACGTCAAAAAACTTCAATGAGGGATGCTTAAATGGACTCGCCCAACCGCCATGTTTTGTCGGGTTACTTATTCGTACAACTGAAAAATACCATTATCAATGTACGAACTCAGTACCAGTCTTTAGTCTCTTGCAGGATAAACACAGCAAATTGCAATATTTTTTTGCTACATGTCATTTCTGATTAGAGAATGTAGTCTAAAAAAGAGTATATTTTGTTTTCTTTCCAAAACTTGCACTTAAAGAAAAACACTTTATAAATGCTTTCTTCCGGGCGAGTTTAATACTATGAGTGTTGTTATTTCATCATTATTGCATGTAGCAGGTCAGTTATAGTCGGTTTCAGAAAAAAGTAACTTCGAAAAGCAGTCGGCGGAGTATATAACACAATGTTCCATTTATACCATGTTCACAGACATCAACATTAATGTGTAGCAAGTAACTGTTGTTAATTAGGCAAAAAGCTATTTTTTTGACGATTGATACATGTACTTATTAAGTAGCGCATGTAGTCTAACTACGAGTTATTGTCATATTTTTCTCATGGTCAATACTGAGTAACTCCTACGTTCTAACCCAGCAGAATCTAAATGAGCGCGTCAAAATATTTTGACAAAGACGGAATGGTAGAGTTAATCAAGTTATTTTTGATGGCTTTGTGTTACAATAGAGTATTAGGCAAGAGAGGAAATGTTATTCTATATTCATGGCTGAACGGCGATTCCAAGCATTTTGGAAATGCTTATACTTGTATTCTTATAACATTGCTTCTAAAATATTTGTGTATTTATGTGCTTGGCTTTTTGTGTAATTTTCAAAATAAGTTTAATATTTTATGTCATTTTTTTATATGTGTATGCTATCAGGAATCTCAATTTATGTAGCGATTATCTGCACAGCCGGTAAGGGGTTTCAAGTTAAACTGGTTGCGCATTGACAAATTGTATGGTACCTCTGGGAGACTTTGCCAATATTGCAAAATATATCCCGGATGGTTTTGTCTATAAAAAGTGGCATAAAACAAAAATACGTCTTGTAAATTCGGGTTTAAAAACTGTTTAAAATTTGCGAGAACAAATGTTGTTCACTTTTATTGGTTGGTTTTACTTTGATAGTCAAAATACTTAAAACAATTAGAATTAACATATATAATCAGAATATGTAACCAATGAGCTTCATATAAGCGTTAAGATCATTTTCACAACACAGGCTGTCAGTTCTTCTTTCCCGCTTTACATTTCTACCAGGTATTTATTGTCGCAACAGTTTTATTCAACCTTGAATTTGAATCTTATTAGTTCTTTAAAGTTTGTGTTTTATTACTCAGGACAATATAGATCCGACCATGCTTCTTATTCCAAACAAAATATTATCTTTCATTTGATATTTGATCTCTAGATATATTTTTTAAAGGCCAGCATTATCATATTGACTCATTTTTCATTCCCCCTCCTTTAACACAACATCTGGCTTCAGAAGCTTTTGTAATTTTCCCAAATACAACAAAATCCTTCATTGTTTGCATGTGTTTAAACCAAAACCCTTTTAAACATGTTCTTGTTTAGGTCATATAACACTTTTACATTTATGCATAAATGACAGTATAATGAAATAAATGGTAACGACACTAGCAAAATCATTACGGTAGGTTATGAGGTTGCATGATAGTAAAATTAAAAAAAAATGAAAATAAATGAAATCAAAATCATGTAAGATAGTTTCAAGTAAAATATAGCAAAAAGTATGTGTAACAGCGATTTTGATTCTTGTATACATGAGTTTGATAATACTGTTGAAGCTCTTGTTTCCCCTTCATTTAAGCATTACGAAAATGTGACTTATTTAAACAGTAATCAGACGTGGTTAACTACATAATGCAAAGACAATATCATTTTTTTTATAATGTTTTAAATGTGTTTAGGGCTAAAAAAATAAGACCTGAACATGTGATTAATGACAAATGCAAGACTACAGTATACAATCTGTTTAACAGCAGCCATATACGAGTATGATAGAAATAGAACAGGTAATTCTACAGGTTTGACATGACAGGTCTTTTTTCGGACGGATGTGCAGAGGACGAACACTGACTACATTTGAAATGGAAAAACAAATGTTTCAATATACTAGCATATATGTACAGGTATCAGACATAGATTGAACTTACTGGATAAATTGAAATTACCTTTCCTACAGCGGGTCAATTCAGGAAAACCTATTGAACGGTTCCATATGAAATTTTCCAAGCGTAAAATAAGTAAACGAAATGATTTAATAAATGTAGATAAGGAATGATGCTGTTACAGAAATTTGAAGTTTTATAGCATCATAAAATTGTGGATTAAGTTATTGGAATTAGATCACGGCAAATATAACAAAAATAATCTATAATGATGAAAAAAACAGATATAGAGGTCCATCAAAAAATGGAAGATTTGGTGCTAATTATTGAGATTTGTTATATACACTTGGTTTAAATAGTGATTGTATATTCCCAAATGTTGGAAATCCAAAGTTGTTTTATCAAACGTTTAACAAAATAATTAAGATCAATTAATGCAAAACTGGTCCGACAAATTTCAAAGAATCAAGTAGAACAATATTCTTTAAATATATTGCGGATCATAGAGTTCAACCATATCTAGATATTGTTCATTTTAATACACTTCTTATTTGTGTTTCTCGATCCCGTTTATCATCTAATAGCATTGTTATTAAAACAGGTCGATTAAATCGACCTGTAGACTAAAAGCATGTAGTGTATGTAATAGATTGAAAGATGAGCTCCATTGTAGTATGTACAATGTAGATTATTCAATAATTTAAAGAAAGCAAATACCGCCGATGTAAAACGTGTCCATGTCATCATCGAAAAGCTTTTCATGAAGTTGAAACACTCCTGTTAAGCGTCCATTCAAAAGAACAGATAAGACATTCTCAGCCATTTTCCTTTTGTTTGAGCTTTAGGCTTTATATTGCTATAAAGGGGAACCTCAAAACTAATTGAATTGCCAATCCATGATGGAATGAGACAAATGGCCATAGTATGTAAAGGTTGGCTTCAGGAAATGGTAACTTTTACGAAAATTCTAAGATTTATATACTTAAAGATAAAAAAAAATGTTGATACACAAAGAGATGATTCAACGCGGCTCTTTCGTGGCAATGTTCGTTAGGTTACAGCATTTCTCTTCATATTGCTGTAAAGATAAAATAATGCAAGGCTAATTTATTTGCAACGTCATCAGACAATCAGTTTTTTTTAAACTGTTGACTCCAGAAAATGTTGCTTTATTTGACAAACATTATTAGAAGTTTATACAGGCAACACTATCGCGGCGGTACCCGTTACAGCTTTTGTCCTTATAATACAGTAAATTACAGACAAGAAGGCCCTCCGAACTTTACCGACATTTTTTGTAGCGTTCATTTTACGTGTGAGTAACGTTACTGATATAAATCACGAACTCATGTGGTTGCATTTGTGTTATCTTTTATTATTTCTCTTTTTCGGACATTGACGTATAGACTGGCAATTTGGAAAATGCTTTTATCAGTTTTGTACAATTATTTTATGATGAAACGGTCAATATTTACGAACAACAAGAAAACCTCAATACGCTAAAAAATGGAATCGTTCCATTCTATTAAGAAACAACGATGAAATTTGGACAATACACCGCTTTTCATAGAATGGCACGAAAGTATCCGCTTTTCATAGAATGGCACGAAAGTGTAACATTGAAGGTTTCATGATAACCGCCGTATGAACACATCTGCGGATGTTTCTAAATTCAAAATTCACAATAACCATGATTAAATGTTGAATTCTGCTTAGGCCGATGCTAAGGCGTTGAAGGTAACTCGCACATTCCATTACCGTCCATCAAACCGAGCTTGCAACATTTTCAATTTTGTCTTGTTGGACTTTCTTTAGGGATTCATTATTTCTCTCTATTTTATCGAAGTTCTACTGTATTATAAATGAGGTTTAAACGATATGAATACGCTTTATCTGAAATATGTTTTTATTTGTTTATGTTTCATTTCTGACAACTGTATTGTTCATCGTTGTTTTTAATGTCTGTCAGCAAATAAATAATTTATCATTCACAATTTTGGGATTCGTGTAAGGATTCAACGTAGGTTGTTGTATTACTTCTGTTAAACTTTCATTGATAAGGAGTTGTTTTACCAAGATTATCGTTTAATTATGCAAATGAATACTGTATTTTTTTTGCTCCTTAACAAATTAATGTTTTGTATATTTAATGACATAAAGAGTTGTTGTTCGTTGTAATAATGCACAGCTACAGTCGCTTCGCAAACTCCGCTCCTTTTTAGCTTTCTTATTTACGAAGAACGCCCAATATGCACTCAAACCTATACTTAGTAAACATAATTGGCTGAATCTCTTAAACCAAACAATAAATCGACATGGAAAGTAATTTGTTTCCCTTCTTGCATAAATCTGAGATGTTTTGTCATTAATTTTACTATTACTTTATTGTTTTATGTTGTTTTTTTCGAACTGTTTGTTTTACATATATTAATAATTAGTAATGAGGCAGTACAAAAAACTTACGCCTTCCATGGAATGTTCTAGGCAGACTTGCAAGTGAGAATCCGAACGCTTTTCTCAATATGGAGTCAATTTCTGCAAGTGTCAAAGGGTCAGGTTTTGGCATTCTTGTGTATATATTTAAAAAAGGGTCATCACATCGATCGTCTATTGCTGGCATCTTTGGACAACCATAGAAAATCTTATAACGCTTGCCATCAACGGCCACATTAACAGCTATTCCACTCCAAATAGATCCTAAAATTGTACAACATACAATATATTATTACACATTTCAAAGACGTGTCTCATCATTAAATCATTATTGAAGCACATCATTGTGACTTTAAGGAAATAAATTGTCATTTTAACATATTTGCGATATATTCTTGTGTTCAGTCATTTTTGCAATTATGCATGTATATATATCATGAATATGCCTGAAGATATTTATAATCTAATTCTAAATATCGGAAGGAAAATAGTTACCTATCGGGTCTTTGATTTTGAATACTCCTCTGGTGTTCGTAGGATAATACATTGTCGACAAAGTATTGCACATTTGTGTGACGTCATTTCTGAAAATATCATATTATCAGTATTTACTTGGTGCTATTAGAAACAAATGCTTATTTGAGATTGGATATTACCTAAACAAATAAACGATGTAGATATTAATAAATTATTTAAGTGAGTGTCCATATATCTATTTATGTATAAGTTTAGATCTATTTTTAAAGTATTGCACATTTATATGACGTTATTTCATAAAATATAGTATTACAATGTTTACTTGGTAATATATGAAATAACTGCTCATTTTCACATTAGGAATTTCCTTAACAAATAAATGTAGTTGCTAATAAATCTTTTCTAAGAGTCCATATATGCATTATGGTACGTAACGCGAAACAGTAACGTATACAGTTAAGATTAAATCCTCAAAATATATTTATTATTATACTGTCTGATTGATTTCAAAACATTATGTTTACCTCCATGTGTCATAACTTACAGGTCCTTTTGGATGTCTTACAAGAGACTGAACACAATCTGTAATTCTGTCGGAACTATCGAACCCACATCCAGGCAATCTATACTGTACAAACCATGTTTTGAAAAATGATGAATTAAATTCGTTTTAGAAAACAGGTTTTAAAGATAATAAATAGTTTTGTTATGTTTCACTTGAGAATTTTTTTGATTTAATGCATATTACTTAACATGCAATCGCCAAATTAATAACGTTACCACGAAATTAAAACCAAACCTAAAATGCTAAAAGCCATATATTTACTTAACCACCATGTCAGAGAAAACACAAGGTCAACAACAAATGTCGTGGCGGCATGACCGAGTGGTTAACGCGTCAAATACAAGATCAGTAGCCCAGTGGGCTCAAACCCCGCAATGGGCAAGCTGGTGTTGCCTTTAGCAACATTACAACCATTGCTCAGTACTGATTGGTTCTAGATGTGTCTAAACGTGTATAGTTTCCTATAAAATCGAAATAAAATTAAATCTGTATACAAAACAGCAACAGTAACAACTAGTTGTTAATTATTTATGCAAAAATTACATGCTATGAGAAAGACAGCTTTAAACTTGGTAGGGACAAATTTTGTTAACTCTTTCCATTGCAATTGTTATCATGGACCATTTAAAGATTCGGGTCAAAACTTTATGAACGTCTTCTTCGTTGAAGTAAGGGGATGGAGGTGGTATTTATTGCAAACTTCTACTCGCATTATTGGCTTTACATGGCATATCATGCCAAAAATGAATCGTAACCAATTATATGATATGCATAATGAAGCCTGTAAGTTTATGAAGCATTTCTCCGGAAAGCCTTTAGTCAAAGAGAAACGTTTTTTTGAAGTGTATAAAGCTATAATTTGTGTTCCTTGTTCTAGAAATACTGTAAAAGCAAATAAACTGTAAAATACCGATTTCGTATGATTATAGTCGACGGACTCATATAAAATATAAAAGATTTGACAATGTTTCCCGTAAACCACCTGCGCATAGCCAATCGGATTTGTAACTTTTATTTTCTTTCGGAAAATCTGGTTGAAAATGAATAAAATCAGAACCGCCTGACAAAGTATTTGGATATACAAAAACATGTCTAGATACGAACAGTATATTTTTCCAATATGATTCAGCATGACACAGAAAAGGAATGCTTGCACGTCCAAAGGACCCAAAATATTTCCTAAGTAAATTGACTCAGTCTATAAGTTTGTGCGAGATCTTTATTTTGTGTTTTAAAACAAATTAATTGAAAAAAAAGACTAAACCTTTGTTTAATTACGCTTACTAACATTAATACTACAGTGGTAGCATAACGATTGAAGCAAAATTAATTGAATATGATTAACCGAACCGTATGGAACGCCATAGCTGCCTCATGTTGTTGCATTTTGTATTAAATTTCCCTTAAAGTGTCTTATTATGTATAATAGTAGTGCTGGCTTGCCAACGTTTTATGAGAACCTGTCTTAACGTAGTATTATTATGTCAAATATTCATGTTATCTTGTCAAAACGTAGTGCTGACTTGTCTAAACACTGTCTTATTATTTCAAAACGTTAACTTATCATATCCAAATCCTGTGTTAACATGCCTTATGGAAGTCTTAATATGTCTAACATGCACGCCATCTTTTTGAATTAAGATTTCAACATGTCTAAACACAGCTTTATTTAAATGTGGTGTTGACTTGTCTTGAAATTATCTTATAATGTGAAACAGTAATATTATCTTGTCGGAACTTGGTGTCATCTTGTCCAAATGTTATCCTGGTTTGTTATGACACTGTTGTTTTATGTTATACTGTCGTTTTATCTTGTCCCAATGTGGTATTGTCTTGTCTAAACCCTGTCACATTTTGTCAGACTGCCATGTAATAGTGTTCAATTCTGTGGTATCTTGCCTAAAGAATGTCTTCATGTCAAAATAGCATGTTGTCTTGTCCAATTGTGGTGATAAATTGTCTAGAAATTGTCTTATTATGTGAAACAGAAGTGTTATCTTGTCTAAAACTGTTGTTATCCTGTCTAAAAATATACTTATTATGTGAAATACTAGTGTTGACTTGACAATAGATTATGTTTGTTTGTGTAAATGTTATTTATTATGTCATATTTGTTCAAACAGTATTGTTGACTTGTCGAAAGATGCTACTGACATGTCTAAACACTGCCTTTTTTCTCAGATTGCCATGCTATTTTGGCTAAACTTTATGTTAACCTGCCTAAACACCGTCTTATCATGTGAAATAATGGTGGTATCTTTACAAATTATGGTTATGAACTTACAACGCTATTTAAGTATGTCAAACTGTCAATATAGTACTTCTGTTTTACAATATAAGAAAGAGTTTTGACAAGTCATTATCACAGTTCGAAAAGATAATCACATTTTGAAGAGAAAAGACTACTGTTACGCATAATAAGGCAATATTTAGACAAGTCGACAAAATACTATGGCAACACCACACTAATATTTAATATAATAAGAGGCTTTCCAGGCAAGATAAAAAGAAATGTAACAACACGAGGTAACTATGACGTTCCATAAAACCGAGTATATTAAAGACCTATCGTCGGGAAAAAATGGACGTAGTGTTTCGGGTGACGTTGCTGTGATTACGTGTTGCATTCGGTATGGTCATGAATATCAATGTTATATTTTTTCCAGACAGTATTTGATAAGTTATCGAGCTTTGTAACGTGGATTATTAAAATTATTCTATTAAAGATAAAAGAATTATAAACATTGTCTCTGAACCTATTATACACCCCTCGTACTTATCTTCTAGAATTTTTCTCTGATTACATTAAGAATTGATAAAATAGCCACATGATCGTTTATCTTAATAATCGTTATTATGGAAGTCTTAAATATTAAATAAGTAGATCAGTAGTCAAAAGTTTTAAGAAAATAAAATAAGGACCTTTGTTATCAATCTAAATTTATGTGCATAAATTTGCAATATCATGAATGCGATGGAAGTAATGTATCAACCGAGTTTTAACAAAAATCGTGGTTTGAATCTTAGATAGGACTAGTCACAATATAATGCAAATAATACTTTTTCTTTAAGCAGACATATTAATGAATCTCATAGAATACCTTCTTTGCCACTTAAGACGATTATGTAAATCTTTGTAGTAAACTTTATTTACTTTTGTTGTTATCATCAAAGACATCTGATATCAATTTTGACAGGACTAACTTTATCCAGACCATTATAGCCAAGAATGTCTTCGAACATTTAAGTAATCATTATGGTAAATAATGGAATGTAAAATAAATTACCCAATTTTGACTGATAGTGTAAATATAAGCATTTTGATTAGAGTTCTACTGATATTTTTTTAGTTAAAGTCACTGCGACTTCGAATCCTGTCATTTTCTCATGATGCTTTCATTTGAGGTAGCTAGCTAGTTAACGGAAGACCCGCGGTTCTACCCAGGCGCAAACAAACAAACAAACAAGCAAATAAAACAAAAAAACAACACGCAAACAGGCAAACAAAAACATTGAAGAGGTTTGCGACAAAAATATTTAAAAGGAAAACCCATATACTAGTAGATTGCTATCCTTACGGTTTACAAAAGCAAAACCATTGCAAATATATATCAGCCTTTTCATGTATAAGAAAAAGCAGAATAATACATCATTTTGTTAAACTATTGAATTATATAAAATATGTTTTCAAGAGAACAGTTTTAAAATGTACTGAAATATTAACATAATATAAACATTCTAAGTTTCATTAGACATACCAAAACATTCTAAATGTAGAAAGGGCAAAAGAATAACTGTGATGGATAGACATACCACGTGATATACAACATATGATTCAAAATATTCATTGGCGTCGGTATGTGTTTTCCTATGTAGTAGACCATTATTTGTAATTCATTAAAGTATCGAGTGTCATCATCATCGGCAGTAGTAGTTGAACATTTCAAGTTTATCGCAATTATGCCCTATGAAATAACATAGTTTCTGACAAAGAGACTGCAGTACACTTTTTATAATTTATTTTTAGTTTTTTATTTAATATATATTTTATTGGCGAAACATTTTATATATCTTAAAGTCAAAAACATTTTAATTTTATAAAATACGGGGTTTTAACATGTGACCAATTTGTTTTGGTTTTTTTTTTGGGGGAAATTTAGAGGATCAACGCTTTGTTCAGACTGAAAATTTCTTACTGACCTTTATAAAATAATGCTACCCCATCGGCGCAAAATTGGTTAATGAAAAAATAAAAAAATCTACAAAACAACAATTTTTCTTCAAATTTATATGACAGGCCATGTTTAAACATGAAAAAACGCGATTTAGGGTAATTTCAAGTATTTTCATCATTTTCTGTTAACCCATTACTTCATATACACGCCTTTTAACGCCTTTTTCACCCCCCCCCCTTTTTGTTGTCTCAAATGATGAAAAAATGCCTTATTTAGGCCCCAAACACTTGTTTTTGTTTGAGAAATGTTGTTAAAAAAAGTGACCTCTTTTTCGGCGCGGCCCCCCAACCAAAAGATACATCAGGGGGTTGCCAGAAGGGGGATGTGCCCCCTTCTGTTTGGGGGGTTTGAAGGGGGGCGGAGTCCCCCTCATCGCCAAGAAAATTTTGGACTTGTGAGAGGCTGTAAATGACCCCAGATTGATCATAAGGTAACGTGTAACCAACGCTGAAAAGCATTTGACTCTATCTCAATCCATTGAGAAGTTGCAGCACTTTGAAATCAATTTTGATGGAAAAAAATCAACGCAAAATAGTGATTTTTGGCAATTTTGAGATGTCCCCTCGTTGCCATGGTAACAGAAAATTTAAGCCTGAGCATGTTGTTGCAAGGGCAATGGTCCAGTCAACATTTGTGCCAAGTTTGATTAGTGTTGAAGCAGTTTTTATAGTATTATAGCAATTTGAACTTGTAACGGGAGACTTTTCAATGAAAACAGCCATTTTTCACAAAATGCTCATGAAGCAATGGGTTAAGACAAATCTTACTTTGTCGGCAGATAAAAACTTCTCTTCCACTAGCTCTTTATAAAGGGCTTCTGAGTAGTAAACTGATGCAAAATAGGGAAAAAGTTTTCTTGCAAGCTTTAAGCAAATTATTACAGACAAAACAATTACATAATTCTTGCCTTATCGGAATGAAGATGAAAGACTTGAATATAGAGGGTATTTGCGGCCGCTCTTTGTTATAGTAAAGACACCGGAATCTAACTTATTGTTTGTTTATAGTGTGTTAGTAAGATGCTAATTGAGACTTCTTTTAGATCACATGTATGAAATAATGTATTTTCAGATAAATACCCATTGTTTTATGTGTTTAAACCATTGCTGTAAGTAACCAGTTCAGTCTTGCCATTGCATTGCTGATAATTCCTGTGTCAATCAATTATTTTTGCAACTGTTTTCTTTTATTATACCTCTTTTTCGGATATTTACGTAAACAGTAGCAATTTGCAAAAGGCTTTTATCATTATTGTACAATAATTTTATGATGACACGTCATTATTTACGAACAACAAGAACACCCAAATACACTGAAAAAAAATGGAATCCTTTTTTTTATATTAGGAAACAACGAACAAAAAATCGACTGATCGAAGCTCTACTGTATTATAAATGAGGTTTAAACGATACGAATGCAATTTATCTAAAATATGTTTTTATTTCGTTTATTTTTATGATTTATTACCAAGATTATTGTTTAATTATGTAAATGAATACTGTTTTCTATTTGCTCATTAACAAATTAATGCTATGCATATTTAATGGCATAAAACGTTGTTGTTTGTTGAAATATATGAACAGTTTGTTTGAAATGAGTATTGAATAAGAATGAAATTAACACAGGTTTTACACATACATTAATAATTACTGTAACATACAACAAGACAATATAAGCAAGACTAGTGTGTTTGCTATAAGAACTGTATTTCTGATGATATATATTATCTGATAAAACTACAATTTCTTTCTACATTATATATCATATTAGTTCATGGTTTTATTGTGTTTCAAAATTAAAGTATTGTTGCTGCTGCTGCTGTTGTTGTTGTTGTTGTAGTAACTGTTCGTTTGTTGCTTTTAACACGACTATTGTGAAGTCGTTATAGAGTTAACTCTAAAATTTACTGTTCAAAGGACATTCTGAAATGAAACATTTTTCGTATACACCATTTAATATATCTGCATGATAACACATTGTGTAGTAGTAAAGGAACAGTAATTATTCTTAATATTACAAAATGCATAAATAAATTAAAATTAAGAATGATAATAATTAAACTATCTAACTCATATTTTCTTTAATACTTGTTTTTCAAGGAGGCAAGTACACTGCCATTAGAAACAAAGCGAAATTAAAAGATAAAAAAGCTTCTGATTTTATAAACAAAAATCTCAAAAATTTGCCTTTCGTATTTAGATAAAAGATTTGTTTAGAAAAATCAATTATAGTGAAGATTTTTTTATCAAACATGTATGTTCAAATTATGCCAATGGAAGATTATTAAGAGGTCAGATAAATTTTCTTCGTGTAATGTCTTTGGTATATTGTTATACTGTATCACGTATTTGTTAATTTGTTTGTTTTTAACAAGTATGAATTACACTAATTAGTAAACATTATTGGCTGAATATCTTATAACAAACAATAAATCGACATGAAAAATAATTTGTTTTCCTTCTTGCATAAATCTGAGATGTTTTGTCATTAATTTTACTGTAAGTTTATTGTTTTATGGTTTTTTTTTCGAACTTTTTGTTTTATATATATTATCAGTAATGAGTCAGTACAAAAAAACTTACGCCTTCCATGGAATGTTCTAGGTAGACTTGCAAGTGAGAATCCTAACACTTTTCTCAATATGGAGTCAATTTCTGCAAGTGTCATAGGGTCAGGTTTTGGCATTCTTGTGTATATATTTAAGAAAGGGTCATCACATCGATCGCCTATTGCTGACATCTTTGGACAACCATAGAAAATCTTATAACGCTTGCCATCAACGGCCACATTAACAGCTAGTCCACTCCAAATAGATCCTAAAATTATACAACAACCAGTATATAATAACACATTAAGTTATCATTGAGGCACATCATAGTGACTTTAAGGAAATAAATTGTCATTTTAACATATTTTCGATATATTTTTGTGTTCAGTCATTTCCGCAATTATGCATGTATATATATCATGAATATGCCTTAAGATATTTATAATCTTATTCTAAATATCGGAAGGAAAACAGTTACCTATCGGATCTTTGATTTTGAATACTCCTCTGGGGTTCGTTGGATAATACATTGTCGACAAAGTATTGCACATTTGTGTGACGTCATTTCTGAAAATATCATATTTTCAATATTTACTTGGTGCTATTAGAAACAAATGCTTATTTGAGATTGGATATTACTTCAACAAATAAATGTAGATATTAATAAATTATTTAAAATGATTGTCTATATATCCATTTATGTATACAGTTCAGATCTGTTTTTAAAGTATTGCACATTTGTATGACGTAATTTCTTAAAATATAATATTTCATTGTTTACTTGGTAATATATGAAATAACTGCTCATTTTGACATCAGGAATTTCCTCAACATATAAATGTAGTTGTTAATAAATCTTTTCTAAGAGTCCATATATGCATTATGGTACGTAACGCGAAACAGTAACGTATACAGTTAAGATTAAATCCTCAAAAAATATTTATTACTGTCTGATTTCAAAAAATAAATCTTACCTCCATGTGTCATAACTTACAAGTCCTTTAGGATGTCTTACAAGAGATTGAACATAATCTCTAATTCTGTCGGAACTATCGAACCCACATCCAGGCAATCTATACTGTACAAACCATTGCCCAAGTGACTGTTTTCAAAAAATGAAGAATTAAATTCGTTTTAAAGATAAGGTTTCAAATATAATATTAAATATTTTTGTTATGTTTCACATGAGAAATTATTTTGATTTAATGCATATTACTTACATACAACCGCCAAATTAATAACGTTAGCACACTAACAAAAGCCACGACATTAAAACCAAACCTAAAATGCTAAAAGCACCACATTTTCTTAATAACCATCTCACAGAAAAAACAAGGTCAACAACAAATGTTGTGGCGGCATGGCTGAGTGGTTAACGCGTCAAAGATATTTCCTTGAGCAACATTACAACCATTGCTCAGCATTGGTTGGTTCTAGATGTCTCTAAAAGTGTATAGTTTCCTATAAAACCGAATAACAATTAAATCTGTAAACAAAAGAGCAACAGTTACAACTAGTTTTTAACCATTTATGAGAAAATTACATGCTATGAAAAAAGACAGCTTTATTCTTGGTAGGGATAAAATCATAATTTTTGTTAAACCTTTACATTGTGTCTGGTAAACTTGATAAAGCTATATGAACGTACTTACGGCTTCTTCGTTGAAGTAAGGGGGCGGAGGTGGTATTTGTTGCAAACTTCTTCTCGCATTATTGGCATTTACATGGTATATCATGCCCAAAATAAATGCTAACCAAATAAGCATTATGAATCCTGATAGTTGATGAACAATTTTTCCGGAAAGCCTACAGAGAAGAAGAAACGTTATTGAAGTGCACATATGTATAATATGTGTAACTGGTTCTAGAAATACTGTAAAAACAAATTAACTGTAAAGTTATGTTTTTATATTCTTATAGTCGACGGAATCATATAGAATTTAAAAGATTTGTCAATTTTTTCCGGTAAACCGACCGCGTAGAGCCAATCTGATTGGTAACCAGTATTTTCTTTAAAAAAAAACTGGTTGAAAATTCATGAAATTCCAACCGCCTGACAAAGTAATTGGATATACACACATTTGTGTAGATACGATAATCGAACTATGTTAACAGTTCATATTTTCGAATATAATTATGGGTAACATTGTAAAAAATGCTTACACGCCCTTAATTTAAAGGGATACTCAGGCAAAATAATGACAAAAATATAAAAATGATCTTATGTACTCAAACCACGCTAAAATGACATTTTGTAAAGTCCCATCATTAAATTCTGTATAAATTCTATATATTTTGTGTTTAAAGCTTAAATATATCCATATATGTAAAACGAAATTTAGACGCCGACAGAATTACCGAGTAGTTTTAAAACAAGCCATGTGACTTGAACAAACCCTGGAAGTTACAATAACAAATATTGTAGATATTGTCTAAGTAATTTATTTGACATGTTCACTGTGACAACTATCTTGAAATTTTAACGCTCTAACCTGACCCACGTGAGTCAAGTTAGGAAACAACTATTTTATTCTTTGTAAGGAGCAAAGTTTTGTTTCTTTGACTGCCTAAAGTATATATTTTGAGGACATTTACAGATTAATTAATGAAACATTCAAAACGAAGAAATGAAAATTTTGCCTGTGTCTTCCGTCAGATGTGTCATCAATAGACTTTTCGGTCCAATGTAGTTTAATATATATTTATCAAATCTTTTCTTTTGAATAGAAAATATTATTTTTGCAATGAAGTATACTATTGCACGGTGCATTGTTAAAATGCTTTGTACTTAACCACTCAGCCTATTCGATTATGTTCTCAAACCGAGCAGTAGTGTACTACAATTTACAAAGCACCCAAACTATTTTCTAAGTAAAATGTCTCTATAATTCTGTGTGAGATCTTTGTATTTTGTCAAATACTAATTTATGATACTATACTATACTAATATTAACTTATGATACTATACTATACTAATATTAACTAATTGAAAAAAGCAGTTAGCATTTCTCACATTACGTTTACTAAGACTTATATTACAGAGGTAGCATAACTATTGAAGCAAAAATAATTGAAATAATTTACCAAACCGATTATATTTAAGTCCTCTCACCGGGAAATATCAGGACGTAGATGAAGTTTGCATGCACTTAATACAGTTTATATAACACATTTTAGCTTATGTAACTTTTAAAAATACAGAGGCATCAATCAAAATTGAAGAGATGTTTTTACCTATGGTGTCTCTCAGTTCAAATATGCTACTTGAATGCATAATCAGGTTATTTTAAGGACATATCATATGTTTTATTGTCGTTTTGATAAATGATTCAGTAAAAGTCCATGTCAGAGAAAGTGATCAACACACATGATTGTATCACTAAAATATCTAAATATCTGGGTCTGTTCACATCATCTTAAGTTATCATTTAAATCATTTCATAAACCGTTTTCTCCCGCATTGCTCGAATAGTCTTAATAAAAATGAGGGGGAGCGGTGGCCTTGTGGTTAAGGTGTCTGCCTCTCAACCCAGAAATCATGGGTTTGAGCCCTACTCGGGTCACGACCATGTTTCTTCATACGACACCAGTACTGGTTGGTTCCAGGAAGCGAACTCGAAAGTGATAAATATAAGTTGCAAGAACATGATTCGCAATCGAGCTTAAATAAATATGTTTAAACCAATAAAAATGAAAATAAAGTATTAAATGTGTCATATATTTGTTAGCGTATTTACATCACGACATAGCTTTCGGAGACATTTTGTACCTTTTCTCGTGTAATTACTGCCACGAGAGTTAGAATTTTTTGTTTTAACTGCGATGTCTGTATTTGATTGATATTACATTTGCTACTACACAAATAACGGAAAGTCTGTTTTGAACTGCAAACGCGTGTCAAAATTATATCATATTAAAAATGGCATAGATATTTAAATAACATCATCCGTTTCTTTTTCCCTCCTGTAGGATATGGTTTAACAAATATATCTAAAATGGGGAAATGACGTCAGTCATCTCAGAGTCATTCGCAAAACTGATATCATTTCTCATGAAACACCAGTCTGATATAAAAGAAAGAATGTATGTTTGTACTTGGTAAAAGTCTATTCGAAATACTTGCATTGTATTTGTATGGTGTTTATAAAAATGTTGCAAACGAAAAATCAAAATAGATAACTACTAAACTGATTGTGTATAGAAATTATGCAAATAAACGGCGATTAAATCGTCATGATGATATTTTTTGATAATAAATAATACAGTTTCTAATGATATACGTCTAAAAACAGCAATGTTCTGTAAAATTCTATAAAACGCTATAATTCATATTATTTTAAAAGTCACCTTCGCTCACGTCGTAAAAAAGTCACTTTCGTATCTTAGGCAAAACCCCTAAAAAATGTACTATAATTTATAGATATAATCATTTATTATTATTATTATTACTACTACAATATATCAATACTATTATAATGTAATTGCTCTTACTTGATTTATGTCCGATATTAAGATTTTGTTGTAAATATTGACAACAACATAGTTTATTCGTGATTTAAAGGCTGTGTTGCATGTTCATCCTCAAAACAATGATTAAGAAATTAATGGCATCTGTCACTTAGAAAAATTATTATCTTTATGCTATGCTTTGTTATGTAAATTGGTTTCATTTAAAATAGAACACTTCTTTAAAGTTAATTGTATCTCTTCTATTAAACTTTTACTTACGACACTGGCTGAATGGCAATGACAGTGAATGTAGACATTGTTCAATATTATCTTTTTTTTACTTTTTTGTTTTCTTTTTTGCTTCGGAATGACAAATGAAAGCATTTAATCTAGAACCATTTCTAATATAAAATATGTGATAACATAATGCCATTATTAACAGCAGATATTTTAATGGTATTTAAATCGTTTGTACTGACAATAAGTATTTTGCAGCCTTATCAAAAGTACAATTCTTATTTGGCAAATATTTTCAAGGCATACTGAGTAAACTCATGGCCCCGCGCCCACAGTCGCGGAACTATTTGTTTACATTTTTTTTGTCCATTGACCCAATTTTGATCAATTATTCCCTTCGATTTACAGTAAAAATAAATTCGGAACCAAAACTTCCTTACGAATTTTATTATGTTAAGACCCTTGCGTGTCATATTTATCAATGAGAATGGGAATAAATTTCACGCCTCAACCGTCAGTATAAAATACAATACAAAATTAAACTTAAATTAGGTAATTTTTTTCTTACATTTGTATTTTGTACGGGACATTGCTAAATTATTTTATAGTACCCCGTAGGTTATGCATATATTTTATTGCTGAGCAAGACTGGTTACATGGATTCGAAAGTTAAAAATAGATGACATTAACATTGTGAAAATCTGAAAATCTATTCATAGATGTAGTTTTAATTTTGAATCTATTTTAGGAATAACTAGTCGGGCTAAATGGACTGCCAAAATAATTATACTGATCGGAGACTTATTTTACAGATCAAATACAGCTAGATGTAAAGTTATGTAAGGAAAACTAATGCGTAGTCTCCCTTCGCCATATGAGTGTATTCGATTTGTCTCCCTTTTTTTATATCATATTCCTTTTGCCGCGAAACATGTAACGGACATTTTGAAAAATAAGGTCGATTATAGTTTTTGTTTCGGCTTATTTACATATGGATTTTTATATTTCTTAACATGATTAGTTGTTGATATTTGTAGAAAATGAGTAGCATTATAGGTGAAAAATACACATACTTTGAAATTGTATTATCATCTTTTATTACTGACTTCAGTACCGACACAAACAGAACAATGTTGCACTAATGTCATGCCATAATACAAGTCTTGAAAGTCTTGTTTGTATTGTAATTATTTTCCTTACCAGGTAGGCATTAGTATAAAAAATGTTTTAATTTATATCTTGCTCCTTTCTCATAGACATACGATAAGTATGATTATGCAAATTTAAATGATTTACAAAACATCAGGAATAATGTTCAATAGTACTTAATCTAAATAGAAAATGACCTGTGCGTAGGAATGTTTTGGTAAGGTATCTGTAATGTGCGCATTTTTATGCGCGGAGCATCTCAATTGCTGCATGCAGCACATGCAGCAACATTTATACTTCCCAGCCAGCATGACCATATCGGGCCGATATAGGATTAATGTCGGCATGTCGGCAAAATATGCCGACTATTGGCCGACGTCGGGCCGCTGCAGTGCCGACATATTGAGTATTTTGAAAAACTCTAATTGCAATGGCATTGTTTACTTAATAATGTGAATAAATTGTCCTGTATATGATTTTAATTACAAGAACCACATTAACCACATTTCGTGGTACATCAAAAAAGATATATCGGGTCTGCGTCGGGCCTACATGACCTATCAATGCAACTATTTTGTATATCGGATTGACATCGGTAAGATATTGCGTTTTCTCATCATGCAGCAAATAATTGTACACTTTGATATGAATTTCTAAAATAATCATAGTTGAGTTTGGAAATAATATGTGGTTTGTAATTAAATTCAATATTTATGTTTTGACTACATAAACATCACTCTTTTATTAAATTTCAAATGAAAAGCTTGAAAATATTCACTGCAGTCCTACAATAAACAGATTTAGCGCCAAAAAGAAAAGCTAACAAAGGAAGGTGATAAAAAGCATGTTTTTTTAATGTAATGATGATTCAACAAACGCTGTTAATAATTTAATTTTTACACTTAAAGTTATTGGAAAAATACAATTCATCTGTTTGTTCCTTTTTTTTAGATGTAAAATTATGTTTGAAAATATTTGTCACATGATTTCGCGACATGCATTATCATGGTAGTGATTGTCATTTGCACATTTAAGTTAAAATATATGTTTTTGTTATCTTATTTTGTAAAATAATTATTATTTATTTTGTGTTTTTGCAGGTAATGCCAAATGCTTGCTGTTAGATGTCATCAACATGCTAGCATAAGGATGATACCTGGTCGATATAGGACCGATATCTTTCTACTGTTGGCTGACATCGCACCGCTATTGTTTTGATGTAGGCCCGATGTCGGCAAGAAATATCGGGCCTATATCGTTAAGATATCGGCCCGATATTGTATTGCCGATGTCGGGCCAACATCATTCCTATTTGCAGCCGAGGTTAAAGCCGACATCGGGCCGTCATAGAAAACCATGTCGGTTTGATGTCGGGCCGATATAGAATGTTGGCTGGGTTGTATCTTTTGAAATCGATATCCCTAATTGTTTTGGTAAATATTACAATAAAATAGGCTACAAGCTCATAATCTAGGTCAACATAAACCAAAGTTCAGTTCTGCTGCATAACCTGTGCATACAAAGTACAACATTCATACGTGTAGCTATAGCTCTATATGTCAAAAGTATGTCACATTTTATTGGCATGTTAAATTGCGTGAATAACCATGTTAAATACTGCGAATACTGTACATTTCAATGCTGATTAATTTCAGAAAAGAATGTGTGTGTCGATGTTTTATATCTATGCTACATGCCTTTTTCCCTTCTGTTTCAATTAACATCTAAGAAAATTCCTTGTCACCTGAGTCGAACACGAGTCTCTTAGTTTAGGTTTATTAGGCATTATTCGTATTTCATGCCAAATATTTTAACTCTTGCCATTGGCATTTCAAGGAAGCAGTCTTTTTAATTTTTAACCGCATTCGTACTATGTTAGGGAGATTTAGTGGCGAGCAAAGAAAGTAGATGCGTTAATATACCGTGGACTATTTTGCTATTCAAAAGTGTCAAGAGCTTACAAAAAAGTATTGTTGATAACTTGGCTTAATAACTCCATTACTTAAAATTGGTGGGAAAATCATTTTTACCTAAAATGGAAGCTACCATAGTCATTTTGTTACCATATTTGCCAATTACTTTATTTTAATTATGGCACTTAAACACAGACTAATTTTCTAGAGTAAAATCTAAATCTAAATCGGAAGTTGTTATACAATCCCGCATGAAAGTCTATTTGTATTAGCAAACATTACAGAAATCCGTAATACCTGAGTCTGAGAATATTCAATAGTCATTTGTTATAAAAACGAAACTATTTTATATTATCAAGCTTTATTACAAAGTTAACATTAAAATTGCATCGGCTATAGTGTGTTTCTATTTTATTTCATTGCTCTCAAAGGGCTTCAACATTAATCAACAGATAAATGATATAATTTGCCTGTACAATAGAAGCTTTTGGTATGCTGTATTGCTTTATTTGAAGCAAGCTTTTAAAATAATTGAAAATAAATACTACAACAGTTGACAATTTTACAGACAATATAATATAATATCACAAATTATATATAACGACACTGGGAAGTAAGGGGCGTCATTTACATATGCCATGGAGCTGATTGTTTCAATGAGATACAATAATTCAATATTGATTTCAGAGTATAATAAATATTTACTGATGTAAAAATTATTTCACTTAAAGGCTTATGTTGCAAAAATGCCTTATTGTATTTCAAATGATTAATAGTCTTTGCTCTTAAGGAATCTCCCGTTTTCAAGGTTTTATCAATCAGTTCCACATCATTTATTATGTATATTGGTCCGAGAGATAACATTTCTGTGAATATATTCAAAATGCATGGATATGGAACTTTGATCTGATTTTACATTCAATCGGCCAAACGTTTAGAGATTGAAATGATGTGTACAATGGCTATGACTTTCAGAATTGCTATTATTCTTTCATTTTTATATGGACAAGTGTATTCGACCACTTGTAAACCATTTGAAATAAGCAAGGAAAATGTAAATGTAGCCTTAATTGGTCATTCGTTGCTGGAAATTAATAATACCAAACATCATGAATGTGCTAGGACATGCATGTCATTTGCTATATGTAAATCTATTGATTTCGACAGAAGGAACAACTATTGCAAATTAAACAATTGGTCGTCTGTTGATCCAAATGATTTTGAAACCAAACTCGGTTCGATTTTCACAGATATCAGCGAATGGCCAGGCGTAAGTACTACTTTTTCATTATTCGTAGTTAACATAAACATTTTATTTTATGCTTTCAAATTTGTTTTTACGTCACTATAAAAGAATGAGATTAAATTCAAACGCTTCACACATGTTTTATTTTTCAGCAATGCATATATAATATATCTAGGATTTTTTTTAAATGACAAAGTTTACTTACTGTGTAAAAACGCGAATAGTTAAACGAATGAAAGAAGAATTATAAGCGAACATAAATAAACCTTCGGCATGTTTACAGAAATTGGTTGGAAGTTGTAGCTCACGTCCATGCGAAGACTACCAGAGGTGTTATCAAACCGGTGCTTCACATGTGTGCAGGGATATAAGTATGCTTGGCCACATAACATAAATGATCTTTAAAAATTATTTTACTATAACACAAAACAAAAATGAAATATTAACTAGGAATTGAATTGTGATCATCAGGCTCAGTTGTTCAATTATGTTATATTTAAAATTGTCTCGAATTGCAAAGCGTGGATTTTACGCTCGTAATGGTATTATACCAAAATTTAAAGTTTAGATTCTTTCTTAAATGAAGCTCAGTTGTTTGTCTGCTATGTTTTGCATGGATACAATAGAATAAATTTGAAGCATAAAGTAATATTAAATCAGATAATAGTTTAAGTATAATGTGTGTGTTCTAAGTTTGCATTCGTATTAGTTTGGGATGTTTTTTTTATCAAATGCTATTAAGCATCATATATGTCTCGTACTTATTACATATGTAATCTTTATGTTTATACTTAAGTTTATTCTTTCCAGTTTGCGTTATCAATCAGGAAATAGACCATGGTAAACTAAAGATTAATAAACCTGGAGAAAATAAGTTCCTTGACATTGCTTTAGTAAAATGTGACACTGGGTATGGTCCAAGTCAACGAGAGGTGAAATGTCAAGCTTCGGGACAATGGCAACCTGTAACATGTAACAGATGTAATGTATCAAATAGTTCATATGCAGTCAAATTAAAAAAATTACAAAAATAAATTTTATGGCTATATTTAAGCAGTATCGTGTTAGTAAGGATTTTTATACAGTATCAGGTTTAACAACATTGACATCTCTTTTAACACAACATCAGCGATTTTGCATTCCATCTCAATATTGTGGATACTACTATTGATAATAAAGGCACGTCACGTTTGTGTGATGGCTTCTTGATCGGTGTTCTCTTTTATGACAATCCAAATAATATTAAATCAGACATTTTTCAATTGTTAAAATTTGCGCAATATAGTTAATATAGTAAATTTTATATGTCTTTATGTACAAATTTGCTCTAGTTTACAGTTGCTTTAATCAGAATACAAGATTCATTTAAAACATTGTCTGTCTTAATATTTGACTTATCCTGTCATTAACTTATACGATTACTTTTATAGTCGAATGATATTTAAAAGACTAAGAGATACTTTAATTATTCTACAGTAAATCATAAAGTAACGTTTAGATGTTGACTATGTACAACTTTGTATGCTAATTAATAATTGTTTTCGTATTGTTACTTCTGATAATGAAAGGGTTTTAGTTCAATGATTTGTTTGTTATTAATCACTAGACTTCATTCATAAATATTAAATGAACGCAATATATAATTTCACGGCAGAATAGTTCATCCACTTTTAATGTTTAGGGTATCAGATAAATGTTAACAGATTCAATAAATGAAATATTTTATCAAAATTATCGCTAAAATTACTTCGGCGGACAGAACGTCGACCAAGTTCGCTTATCCCCCAAGTTTATGTTATCATAAAATACTATGAAATTTATGTTATCATAAATAACAAAATTATGATGTTGCAGTAGTGGAAAATGGCAACGCTGATATAATATTTTCTAGGCAAACACTTACTATTATTTCCCAGGCAGATGCAGAAATCACTGCGGTATCATTTGCTTATGAAAGGTATAAGTAGCGATAGGAGCAACCTAATAAGTTATGTCTTGTTGTATAAGTTGATGGGTTTCAATGTTATTGTTTCCCATTACATAGATACATTATGATGTCTTTATATTCATTTCACTTACACGTAAAACTGAGTTGTCCGTGTTCTCCTATTTCACCACGCGCGCGTAATTTTCTTGCATTGATTTTCATTCATCCAAGAATAAGAATCTTCTGTGCATTTTTAAACCAATGAATGGCATACTGTAAGCGTTCTTGTAGCATTTTATAACCTTTAAATTGGTATTCAAGGCCAATTTCGAAAGACGCGCATAACGTTATGTTCGAATGCTTCTCCTTTTCGTTAAATATCGTCACTTTAAATGAAGCACATTTCAGGCATACCTATAATTATCCGCGCTTTAAAATGCAACTGATATAAAACGAAACTGCCATGCAGCAAGACAGTTTGAAAAATTACCCATCTGTCGAAGTCGGAACTCGAAAGTCATTAATTGCTTGTTTCTTAAACAATTCCTTCAGTTTCTAATTCAAGTAACATTGAAGTAACAATCATATTTAAATTCAACGATTCTTAGTTTTACATTTTGTTTATGTACATGTACGAGCGTATCACTAAAGTTGTAGGTTATATAATTGTTTCTTTTTTATTTTGCTTAGTACATGACTGCAAATCAATTCACGATGAGTTCCCTGAAGTACAAAGTGGACAGTTTGAGATAGAACTATGGAATTCTGGAAATATTTTGACTGTAAATTGTGACATGGAAACTGAAGGTGGCGGCTGGACGGTAGTAACGATTTTTTTACGTTTAAGCATACCAACGAGAAGATATTTAGTAATTTTCAAACCATTCTTTCTGAGCAAGATGTTATAATTATTTGTATGCTAGCATGAAATGGCAACAAGTGTCAGCAAACCACTTTTTGTAAATGACAACATGACCTCGCCCCCCGCGAAAACAAACTAGTAAATAACATTTCATGGCAAATTGGCGGAAAAAGAAAGGGATATTTGAAATTTAAAGACAAGATATACAATATTTGTTGTCTATTTAGTTTTACTTTATTTTTATATTTGCACGGTCTGTATTGAAAGGCTAATTGAAACATCAATTTTGCTTCTTAATTCGAAGCTGAAATTGTTCAAAACTTTATATTATCGTCGTTAAAACTCTTGCAATCTGACTAATTTTATCTACTATTCAGTTTTATCCTTCACTATAAGAATCAAAACCAGGCGTATGGCACTTTTCCATATAAAAGTAGTATACACAAGATTCAAATTCATTGTATTTAAGGTCCGTTTTATTGGAATCGTTGCAGATATTTCAAAGACGTGTAGATGGGTCTGTTGAGTTTTATCGAAACTTTACAGAATATGATAACGGATTTGGGGACGCCGATGGAGAATTGTGGCTAGGTATGTCAATGAATAATGCTTTCTTGTGTCATTGAAATATCTTTTTCTTGATTGTCACATGATCAATACAGCAGCAAATTAACTGAGTAAAAATGTTTATTAAATACGTATTCATGAATAGTTAATTTCATATTAGACCTGTTTGTCACATCTAAATGACCTTTATTCAGGAGAGTGATTTATTGTTTTCAATGGGGTTAAACATATGTCAAGCATGAAGCAACCTTACATTTAAACCAGAAAACATACTTCATTATAATGCACGTAGCTAACTTTACTCCTAGACGTAAATAAAATAAATAAATAATTGTATGTAAACGATATAATTGTGATAGGATGTCAAATAGAAAATGTCCATTCAAATGTAAAGGCAAAGTATTTTCAAAACATTATACATTTCTGAATAGATCTGTGACATGCACATTGAACATAGCTGTAACAGTATTAGAATTGCATATTTGAAAACATGATAATTTTTCCACGTTAGAAAGAAACCCAAATTAACAACAACAAAAAGAACGACAAAAAACTACTTCGTTTTGTTTAATCAGTTGTCTTACAATAAGCACATGAACAATTTATTCATAATCTACATAACTAGTTCTTTGTTATTTCTCATTTAAATGTTTGGTTACATTTAGTCCATTATTTATTACCAATACCTTAACTAATAGGATACTCTTTCTAGATCAACTATTAATTACTCTTGCATTCACTTCAAAAACTTCACTTTAAATGATTGTGTTTTTGCAGGCCTGAAGTATATACAAGAATTAGCCGAACAAGGTCCTACAGAAGTTCGTCTTGACATGACAAATGAAAACAACGACACAGGGTATGAGACCTTTCAGGACTTTAAGTTAACGGATGGAATAAAATATACACTTAACATTGGGTCACGCAAAGCATCTGCAGGTACAATAAAATGAAAGTATAAGTTCCTTCACACATTGTCATTTTGACATTTAATTTGCACTGACAAAAACAACAGACCTTTTTACTGCTTCTTTATTTATATTTGTATAATTTTATTTATTGATGTATATTTTGCCTGTTACCTAAAATGTTTTTGTACATGCAGTTTGATCTCTAAAGTTATCAAGAATGATAATAACTTCTCACAATGACATGTATACTAATTAATCGATTATTGAGGCGTTCATGTTTTACTTCTTTCAATATATAGTTTTTCATTTATACTTGCCATCAATAGAATAAAAGAAAAACAATTAACTTTTAAAAAGATTAGATCAAAGTCACGTTTGGCATGTGGTTTCAAGTGTGAAAAAATGAACAGTCTGACCAGGACTTGAACCCGGGACCAACGGTTCTACCCACTGAGCTCATTGCCAATCGTCCTCATAATGTCTCATGGGTACATATTACTCTTTTGAACTACTCTCGAGCTATTTCCCATCAGACCCATCGTTTTGCGCAAAATGTCACAGAGGGTAAGAAATATATTTTCCTGTCCAGACTCGAACCAGGGAAACTTGGAAGGAATACCGTTTCACAGCTTTACCGACTAAGCTATCAGGCCACTAACACATCTTCTTCCCTAACTAGTGAATAGTTCTGAACAGTGGCATATATATATACAAAATGTTAACTAGTTTTCCAACCATCAAATGTGCGTGTGATTGCCAAAATAAATACTCGATACTTAAATCGGTTACCTGAAAACCGTTAAAATACCAAAAGAGTTTCAAAGTGACCTGATGCCGATTTATTTCAGTCAACGTAGCAGAGTGTCTACAGTACAACAACCTATCTCCCTTTTCAACTTATGATCGTGACCTCGATGCCGGCGCATCTCGTAATTGCGCTGTGGACCGGCACGGAGGATGGTGGTATAACGCATGTTCTTACGTCAATCTGAATGGTCTATATGTTTCACCAGGTACAACATGTAACTTCGCTAGTGCACAATCCGGTTATTGTGGACACACGCATACAGGGTTTAATGGACAAAAAGGATTGACAAGGTCTTCGATGATGATGAGAAGGACATAGAAATGTAATCGTGATCATTGTATTTTCAAATCAAGTCAGATAAGTGAATGGTTTTATGTGACGAAACATTTTGGAAATGATTTTGTTACAGTTTATATTGTGTAATGTGAATTTAAACAAAACTCGTACAGTTGACATGTGCAAATTATAAACTATGCAGCCAATATAGATCGTAATTTATTGGTAAAATTCCTAAATCACATGTTTTTGTCCAACAAAGATGTTATGATGATTTATTTGATATGACTCGAACAATCGAGTAAATAGAATTTTACGTTAAGCAATTTTCAGTTCAAATTCTAAATCGTTAATACAAATACTTCGACTTTTTTATGTAGATATTACAAATTCATCTTTTGATTTTCTTTCATCTTTGTTTGAGCTTTTTATCATTATCATGATCTACTTTATTACATATTATACTGTAAAACTCTTCAGTCCTAGTTCATACATGGGCAACTAATGAATTCAAACACTTCCCAAGTCATCGCATCTCATTGAAATCATTTTTTCTTTTATGGTATACTATTTAGATTAACTGTAACGTGACATGAAAAACTAAAATTATGCCAAGAAAGAAATACAAATATAAAAATGTAACCAAAATGCATCAATATATAACAAAGAGCAAGTTCGAAGTTTTTCAATGAAAAACTATCCTTGCAAATGTATAAATTTATCATTCTAAAGCATTTAAAATACCGAACAAATGTCCTTTTTAGATGTACGTTCTAATATTTCTGATTCAACAATTATAATTGGCCTTGAGAAATATCCCTTGTTGTCATAGTGAACATGACTTTTTACCTTATGACTTCAAAATGTTTTGAATAGGAATCAATAACAAACCAAAGGAAACGTCCATATTTACAATCCTTGAAATTTGGAAGATATATAATTATGATTGTTTTATATTTTGTTGTGTTTCATGGGTTTGAATTGAGTGACAAGATAGCCCAAAAGAATATAATTGCCTATGTTTATGCATTTTAGTACTTCAGTTGTATACCATACTTAAAGATCTTACACTAACGATATTTAGATGTGCCATATCAATTAAATTGCTATCAAAGTGGCCTGTTCTTCTTGAGTATATCCAAACCCGAGAGAGATTGAGGGAGAAAATGGCACAATGCGATTGTTTATGTCTGTCATTTAATAGCTACTAGCCCTTATGAAGTGGTTGTGATACGATTTCCCGCCACTTCAATAATGTGACCATTTATGAGCTAAGTTAAATACAGGCTTTCATTTTAAAGATATGTAAATTTACAAGTTTGTTTGCGATTTATTGAAAATTATTATTAACATTAATAGGGATATTGGAGTATATGTGTTTCATTTGATGAAAACAATTATGTGAATAAAGGAGAACATTTACACAGTGATTGAGAGTACTTTTAACTAAATCTTTTAGATACTAATCATGGTCTTTGTTAATCAAGACAAAACTAGAGTTCACTTTTAGTAGTTGATTGACGCTATTGCTGTAGAAAGCAACGTTGTTTATCGAAAAAGGATAACCTGCATGTGCTTAGAATCAGGCAGTTATATGTAAAAAGAAATGTTTTAGAATAGAAGATTTGTCAATTTTTTTTAGGATAGAAGCAGGCGTCTGACGCTTTTATTCAAAAAATCACCCTCGAAGGGAAGTAGGAACAATAAGTAACATATTCTTGGCCAAAATAAACCTGGTTTTATGTTATTTCAAATTGTTACATACAAATTAATTTATTTATTTGACAGAATAAACATTGGGGTAGGCAATTACATTTATAAATATATGATTTATATGGAAAAATCAAAGCAAATTCTTACACTACCGGGGATTTCTCTTATATAAACAAAGAAGCCCAGAAGCGTGATATATTTCACAACAATGCACTCGCCGTTTTTATATTCCCCTTTGTACGTTCAAACCGACACATTGACATTTTGTTTCAAACATCTGATGAATAAAACAACATTTTGTTGAATTTTTATCTAAAAACTATCTAGAATAATAGAAAATGGTGTAACTAAAAGTAAATCCGAACATCTTTTATAAAGTCATCAACACTGTTGTTGTTTACGTGACGTCACAATTTAGCGCCAAACAGTCAAAACAAGAATGCTATTTCAATTTCGGAAACCAGTTAAATTTCACATTTATTTCACTTTAAATACTTTATATTTGGAACTGATGGTATTTGTCCTTTAGATGTCTGGCACTTGGAGAGAAGAGAATTATTACAGCTGTCATTTAAGAATCAGCAGAATCTAATAAACAATCTTACTTCGACATAAAACCAGAAAAAGTAAAATATGAATATAGGAACAATAAAGAAGCATTAATCAACATCTTTAATCTGACCACCAACACTGTGATAATAGTGCTTAGAGGCATTTTGTGTGCATTATAGCCAGTGGTTGTTTATAAGGAATATTTCTACAACACTCAACATAACGACAAACACCATGGATATATCAGAAACAATTCAGCTTGAAACCAACAGACAATTTAGTGACAATCAACGTGCGAACATTAAAGCTCTTCTCCATCAACATAAATACATCTTTTCTACAAGTTATATTGAAACTGGAAATTGTCAGGAGATAAAACACTGGTTTGATTTAATCGATGATAAACCATTTAAGCAGCTTCATAGGATAATTATACCTATGACGATGGGCGAGATTAGAAGCTAGTATGCTAATTTGCAGCATGTATGATAAGGAAATCAAAGTGCTCGTAGTCATTACATGAAGCGTTTGTAAGTAAAAAACTGTAAACTAAGGATGTATGTTGACCATCGGATCCTGAATAATAAACGTGTTAGTAATTCTTATGCCCTACAAAGAACAGAGGAAGAGTTTGATGTTTTGAAATGAAGGAAAAGCATTGATAGATAAAAGAGAAACATAAAGAGAGAACAGCTTTTACATACAAATCATTTGGATTTTGTGAGTACAAAATTATGTCATTAGGGTTATCAAATTATCCAGCCAAGTATCAAGACGGAATGATGTTAAGATGATTACAACATGAACATTTATGTGATATATTTTCTCGACGTAATCATATTCAGCAAGAACATCTGGAAATCCAAAACACAGTGCTCATCGACTCAATGAAAACAATTTGAAATTATCTCCAGAGAAGTGTTGTTTGATACAGGAAAAGGTCAAAACTTTTGGGCATGTAGTTAGTGAACTCAAAATGTAGACAGATTTTAAAGACAAAGTGAAGAACTGGCCAACACTCAAGAATGCAGGCAAACTTTTTAACCCTTAGCGTTTCTTTTTCGACTTTTGCGGGTTTTATAGAAGGTTTTCAACAGATTATTCCAAAGATAACAAGACCTCTTTCAGGATCATTACCAGCATCTTCAAAGACCTATTAAAATTATTTAAAGATTAGCAATGGACGTGGAAAAATGAACACATATTCCACCAGCTTAAGGAAACACTTGCACCTTCACCAATACTAGCATTCATAGGGTAAACCTTTCATTTGAGCTACCTACAGGTGCGTCGACAAAATCATTAGGAGAGAACTGAACAAAAAGGAAGAAAAAGTCCGGAAGAAACTACTCAGCAGTAACACTGTGCATATCCAGTAACGCAGGAATGTGAAATTAACGTAAAAGTTACGCCGAATCTGTTCAACGCTATTGCCAAAACGATTAACGAAGAAAGGAAACGAACCAAAATATTTTATTCTAAATCAAATTTAAAGAAATCAAGTATTTTAACAAAAGATACAATCGACCATTTGAACCTATAAATGAAGCCTTACTAAAACTTTATTTTATATTCATGCTGAAATCATTCGTCTGAAACAAATTAATAGCGCGGAATATAGATATGTTTTACCAGGATGTCCGACTAAAAAGGGGCATAATTGATTGTCGTCGGCGCTATCTTGAAGTCGGTTTTTGTTTTCATTTATTTAAGGATGTTTTGCATAATGTTCATGGCATAAGGCTTGCTTGAATCATAATTTATAAAGCAATGCTCACCAATTCATTTTATATTATGATCAGATGTAAAGGTAACTCTAACGATGAAGTAAGTTTTACGTGTTTGAGTTTATTCCCTTCCATTGTTCGTTTTACACTCATTTAGAACAATGCCAAAGATAGAACAATAAACTTTAGCTATTTTTATCTGTTTTATCTGTTTACTGTGTATCTATTTCAGGTTTAGGCTTTATTTCAATGATTCACACTACACAGGGAAATTGAAGAATATTTTGATTGAGTCCGATATCCTATTGTTCTTGAATTGTGACCATTCTGTTAAGATCTAATTCCATTTGAAGTAAAAAGTTCCTGTATACTACATATTGTACTATTCTAATTCAGATGAGATATATGTTATGTAATATCAGGTCTGTTGCCTGTTGACAAACCAAACAAAGATTCATCAAAAAAGGCCTGGGTTGATGTAGATTTGACAGAATTATTAAGAAAACTTGATTTCTTCACGGCCATACTTAAGACCGTGATACATAGAAACAAAGATAGCTTGCTTTTATGAACATACTACGGCTTATTTTTTATCAGGGTTTTATCTTCTAGGTTGAAATCACAATATACAGTGAGGAACATAAAGTTTTTTTGCATCTGTTTGTAGCAAGTAATAAGTTACATTTATTAAGGCCTAAACAGACGGTAGGATTTTGAAGTACAACACCAATTAAAACTAAGATGTACAGACAAATCTTAATGTGTGAAGGCTACTATTTCTTGAATTCGGAAACCTTAAGCCTAGATGTAAGGGATAGGACATGTTTTATTTTGAAAATCTTGTCGTACAGATTTCTACAGACCTCCCACAATGACAAGTAACAGATTACCAAATTATCTTTTGATAATGAGTGTAATGAATGAAATTTCAGAACAATTAGGGCTAAAAGGTAAACATAGTAGTAAGATGGGGTAAAAATGATGTTGAAAAACTCTTCAGGTGACCCAAAGTTGTGTTATGTTTGAATCCCAAATTGTTCCAAAAATGATTATGTCACGGTATTAAACTGTTCTCTAATCAGGGGAGGTAGTTTTTAGGCGGCCGGATAGCTCAGTCAAGAGAATCGCAGGACGGTATTCCGAGGGTCCCAGGTTTGAGTCTCGGTCAGGCTGCACATTAAAAAAATTAAAATTTAACATTTTTTTTTAAAGGAAGGTGTTTCAATCATTACTCATGGAGAAAATTATATATAGTGAGTAAAGTATCTAAGGGATCAATTGGGAGGGAACTTTTTTAGGGAAACCTGAGATGATTCCTACAATGCAGAATTACCGTCTGAATGCAAGTGTTGTATTGCTTTGAAAATTGTACATCTTATCTCTATTTAGTGTTGTGCGACTAAATCCTACCGTCTGTTCAGGTCTTATATATATTTAGAACGTCGTCTATTTTTGACGTCTCATTTTTACCCTTACATTAAATTTAGGTTACAATAAATTAAGTCTACATTGCTGAATATCCAATTTTTTACTTTGATTATTTTGTGCTTCTGTTCGGTTTCGGTTTGAATTGTTTTATAATTTGAATGTTAATTACGTATTGAATTCACATGCTAAATGTTCGTATGGTTTCGTTATCTGATATTTTGTTTGGTTTTCCAAGATACAAAATGTACTAAAAAAAGACCGGATTTCCAGTTTATTTTTGGTCGTTTGTGGTTTTTCTAACTCATAATCTGTAAAGGTAAATTGTCGACAGTAGCGATTTCATGAGGTAAGAGTTAAAAGGTATGTATGCTAGCTTAAGTGATTCATTATTGTCGCCTTTGATGTTATATTTCATGTTGCAATTAGAAATAGATATGTATCCATTTAACATTTAAATCGTTCTTAGCAATGGAAGTTAGAAAACAAACAGTGACTATTACATCTGAATAATATGTGCAGCGTTATTTGTGTGATTATTAAGTCGTCAGCATTGGACAAGGCTTCACATTTTAACAGTTGGTACGTTGAATATAATTTAACCTTTAAATCAAGTTTGTTTAAGAATAGATGAAGTTGTCAGCGCACAAGTCTGCATTTAATTTTGTGTATATATGTATACGATAATGCAAAAATAACAAATTAGTTTTTCTAATGTTATTATGTTAAAAATAGACGACTGGAAATCCAAATTATATTTGGCATCTGTTTTTTATTAATATGTGTATGAGTCAATTACGTTATCACTACTCGGCTCATGTGATTTATAAAGTGGGAAAATTATTTATTTTCTCAGCGCAGACTTTGATCAGATGATGAATGCTGTGTTGTTCTTTTTGAAATTGTTCCCTTTTAATTTTGAACAAGAAAATAATAAAAAAGAATGATTTTTTTTTTAAAAATATAAAAAAATTGGAGTTAACGTTGAGCATTCAACATGAAAACCTTGGGAAATTTTCATTTAAATCGTTCTTAGCAATTGTCTTTAAATTGAAATTTAAAATGCGAAAAGCATAAACAAGATTTATATGCAACAACAACTTAAACACAATAATGTTTTATCACTTTCACTATTACAATCACTTCTCCATTATATACATGTTGCTACTACATGCGTAAAAATTAAATATGCAAATTTGGAAAAAGATTTGCCACAAAATAGTCTTTTTATAAGGGGTTTACGTTCTTCAACATCGGACACGTTCATTGCATCAACATCGCATTTTTAGATTAATAGATTTGTTTGTTTCTTAAGTGTCCCAAAATTATAACTCCAATTGTGGCTGAGGGTTGTCTTACGGGTTGAGGATACATTTTAACCCTACGTGATTGTAAGAGACGACAAAATCGGCTCAGCCCCAGCAGGTAAAGCGATTTTGGGCCCATTGTTTGCTTAAAGTTTGTAACACACGAGGTTATGCAAAATCATATGTCCTGTTTCGGCGCGATATGACCTACAAGGTGCTGATACGTCGTAAATCAAAATAAAACTGACAAAAAATAACATTTTAAATGGAAAATACTTACATATATTACATTTCAAGATTAGACGTCTATAAATAGAGCCTAACTACAATAATAAGACTTAAAGTATTATATCTGATTTATAGAACTTTCTAATATTTATGATGATTAATCATTAAAATATGTGAAACACTTATGAATACAAAAAATAAACACGAGTAAAACTGTAAACAGATTGAAGTTTCAGTTTCCAAACAAAGCTTATTTGTTAAACTGAAACCGTAATGTAAGGTAGTTCAAGTACTAGTACTCCCATATTTCGTTCGAATTTAAATACTTTATTGAAATACACTAATTAGAGTGCAAAAATATGAACTTCGATGCAAATACAATGTTTATATCTTAAATGTGACATTATGCCCATTAAAGTGTTAATGGTAAGTGTACTGGAAACTGACATAACGTCTATAATTTTGTCATCATTGTTTTATTGTCATTATTTTTTACACATAAACTATCAATTATTCATGAATTTCTTTAAATAATTGTCGTGAGTTATTATTAATATTCATTTGATAAAAAGAATGTTCTTAGCAGTTTTTATATTCTATCCTAATCAATTGTCATTTGTAAATGACTGGTCAATTACCATTATAACAGTCAATTTTTTTTAAAATGTATGTATATTTAATTCAGCTAAACTTGAGCACGTAAAAGTAACATAATGTCATTTTAATATGTTTGTACAATACATATAATTATTCTTTTCATTGCGTCATTATTATCAATACATGTTGTAGAAAAACATTTTATGACCAACATAGGAAATATTTAAAGCATGTTTTTAGGCTTGAAGATGTGTTGTTTACAGATAAGAGGCTAAACTTTATCAATATCTGTGATTAATGGTTGATAGATAATTAAACGTACATGACAGATTCTGATACATAAGTTGTCTTTAAAAAATATTTTGTCGTTTATGTAATTTCACACAGTTTAAAGGGCTTCTTGCTAGGACTTTAACCTAGAATTCTTACAGTTGTAAGCGTGTTTTCCTTTACACTACAAGAAGTTATCCTTCATCTGTAAACAAGTTATGCTAGAGATTAGATTTTTCCTACCTTAAGTAATACTATAAAATTCTATAGTTTTGTATTAAACGGCGAAGGAGAACGACATTCTACACTGTTAACAAACCATGTTTTATTGAAAAATACTTCATCTTTTAAAAATAGCTTAAACAATGATACTATTTTGTATTCTAAAGTTAAGTCTCTGACATATTAAATATGCGGTTTTTGAAGAGTATTTGAAAAAACGTTTCTGTTCAATCTCCAACCACATGCTTTTGTAGTGGTATTTTGGCTGCACATTATAAGCAGATAGGAAAGAGTGGTATTTTGGCTAGATAGGGTTGGTGAATGTCGCTTTTCCTTTTTGATTCTCTTTCAGATGTTATATTGTAATGCAATAAATCTAAAAAGCCACATAGTGTTTTTGTTTTTTATCAATACCTTTTATGTTTTTCATTAAAGAATAACGGGTGTTTCAAAAACAGCCAATTTTCATAAATTTCATATAAGAAATTATGATTGTTTTAGTTTACACACAATGTATTTTAGTTCAAAGTATAAAAATCCGACACCCTATCGACATAATGTCAAATCCGATCCTGGAACCAACCGGGACTAAGCACTGAGTATTAAGTTTCTTGCTGAGATAAAACACAACGGCTTGCCGCTGATAGAGTTTTAGCGGTCCTTAGATTACAAGTACGATTGAGTTATTTTGTCATTTCTGTTAAATTTGTGGATTTGCACATAACCAATATTTGGGAATGTCTTTATGTGACAGTACCTGGAAGTAAATTAAGTCCATGGAACACAGCAAGTGTAAGATGTGGAAACTCTAGAATACGTTACAATAACACGCGCAGTATGAAGGAATGTAAAAGGAGTGAAGAAAGTTTAAGAGCTGCAATAAGTCCAGAAAGCAAAGACAGTTTAAAGAGAATAGCAAGAAAGTGCATGTAGATACTATATCACCAAAGCTAAAGATTTACTGTTAACCAAACTTGGCAAATGTTTAATTATACTGATTCACTGTTTCGATTGTTTGTTGTAGCAAGCATTACGATTAGTAAACTGACGACGAAAAATGAAAGGAGTATTTAAGCCTTCCTGTTTCACGAAACTGCACGTGTCTAAATGCTATAATAATTACTCTTCTTCTAAAAACTTTATACTATTATCTCCATCTCTACACAGCATAGTGCTTAGAACTTTGGCATGAAACATTGTGTAGCGAACTTCCATCAAGATTGTTCAAAATATAGCTAGCTCGTGGGTCAAAATTTTACCCACCCCGGGGTCATGTATTACCCATTTATATATAGATTTTTTTTTTCAAATCTGCAAGAGCTTGAGCTTATAATTTTTGAAAATTAAAACATTTTTTTTCTGATCTACAAGAGCTAGAGAATAGATTTTTTTGCAAAACAACCCCAATTGTCTATTGTGCCTCTCCTTAGAGTGGCGCCCGACCCTGAGGCCATGATTTTCTCTTAAAAAAAATAGTAAAATTAGTTTCCTTCAAAACAGGAAAAGCTAGAGTAGAGTTCAAATATTTGGCATGAAATATTGTCTACTGGACCTCTACCAGATATGTACAAATTAAAGCATTGGGATCAAATCGTCACAAAAGTGCAGTAACGGTGGCATATTTTTATGTTTTTAAAGCTACAGGTAAGAACTCTATTGTAAATGGAAAATTTAACTGTAATATTTGTTGACCTAGCTTCCGACCGAGTGAAATAATCTATGAAATTAGAACTATTAACACAGTTTAAGACAAATAATAAATCATTTCAAAAGATAAATAACAAATGTTAATTCTGCAAAGACAACGCTTGCAGATATTGACACATTATTGTAATATGTTATATGTTTTCTTATCTCTTGTTGAGTCGTAACAATCCCAAGAGCCAATAGAAATATGAATATTACAATTAACAACAAATCCGTTTATATTTTTTTCACACTGAGTAGTAGGCTAGCACTTTTGTTCTGTATTTCGATTTTTGAAATCGTTGCTTGGTTACGCCGAAAGATTTTCAGTCTTGGCAACGCCTCCTTAAGATAATCTATGAATGAAAATCGTGATTCCAGTGCGCAAAAGACATTGATATTAATAATTGTAGAAATTACAACCAAACGGTGTAATGAATTCAATTTGTTCCGTAAGATTTAAAATCACCTTATTCGATTTGTTTTTATATACGAATATACTTCACTTAATCTGGAAAAAAGCATACCATATAAATTGTATCTTTTTAAATTGTTACATACGAAAACTACTTTTCCCACCTGTTGCATATATTACTGTCATTATAGCTATAGTCATTCAGTTTATTTGACGATGAGTAAGATACACTCTAGAACGCACCTAATGTAGATCTTCTGTAGATCTCCAGCCTGTGGTGCTTCTAGATTGCTGATCGACCTCCATCATCAGCATGGTGCTCGCCGTCACTGATATTTCGGCCCTTATTCATGTATATCTGCTCGCGAGTGGGTCCACTGTCTTACGGTGTGGAGGTCGATTGCTTCCAACTCTTCTCCTTTCGTCTCAGCCACAGCCAGCTAGATGCACGCTCGGCAGCTTATCTTAGACTCTGGATTGTCCTACGTCTATCCCTTCCAGTAGTTCCTATCGCTGTCATCGGCACACAGATTGCGAACAGAACCCTCGCACACCTACTTCAATAGGAAACAGCCATGTATACCAGCCTCTCTGTCTACATTGGTTGAGTAGCTCTGTATACTTTGCTTTCTATCTTT